TTTTAGTAAAAATAGACGTTTCTCGCTCTGTTGCACAATATAGCCTATATGGGCACTCCACGTTAGTGCGCTATCATAATACATGCCAAGAAATTTTGCAACAGACTTAATTATTAGCTTTGTATCTCCCATCTAGACATTAACATCAGAAAGTTTCGAATGAATACTGTGGTTTAGGTAGGGGAGACTCGTCTATATATACTGGATTGGTAAACTTGAACACAGTTCAGAGGCATATGAACTATTTCATTGGCCAATTTCAACAAGCACTAGGCATTTTAATATAACCATAATGTGATCACCCATCACTTAAACTCCTACTAATCCTCAAGCTCATCAGGGTAATTTCACCGGTGGCGTAGCGTGTTGTTTTAGCAAATGTGATAGCGGGGATCGTCTTAAAATGGCGTCCGCAGATTTCATAGTAGTTCATTCCGGCCACCACTTTTGCATCGAGTTTGTAATGTATATTAATAAAAGTTATGTCAGCTTAAAGATTATAAAATTATCTTGCTTAGAGTGGTCACCGAACAAAAATCGGTTCTGCGAATAACGAGTAATGGGTAAAAAAAAGACAGAAAGTTATACTTTTTTCGTCATTTTTCAAACGATTTCGATTCATTCCGGCCACCAATTTTGCGATCAATATGAAAGATGTGTTTAAAACATTGGTATCATATTAACAAGTGCAAAATTCCCTTGACCAGAGTGGTCTCCGAACAAAAATCGGTTCAGTACTTTTTGAGATATGAGTATTTATTAGAACGAAAACAGTTGAAAATATTGCCATTTTTATTTCATAGTGGTTCATTTCGGCCACCACTTTCACTTTCAATATTATATAATGGTACGCATAACTTATAGCATTGTGACGGGTATAAAATTATCTTTCCTAGGCTAGTCTCCGAATAAAAATCCAAGATGTATTGAGGGAGATACAGCCTAATATATACAAAAAGTCAACAAAATAATCTTCACGCCTGATTGCATTCCGGGTTTTGTCCTCACCCCTCAAAACATCAGCTTTAATGATAAACGAAAGCGTCACATGGCAAGAAAAAAACGCGAAAGTTCACGAAGATGATGTTTTAGCATGCATATTATGTATAGCATACACAAGCCTATGCATAGACACAAATTTATGCAAGAGAACGTGCATGCTTTTATCTCTTGCATAGGCCTATCTAACGTCAAGTGTTTGTTTAATGGAGCGCGCCATCTTTGTTTGACTAATTTTAGATCTGACATAACTTACGAATCTAATATTACGCAGACATGCATTGAATAGAACAATAACCCAAAAAATAGATTTATAACAACAGTGATGCTATAACCTTAAATAATGCTATCTAACATGCCATATTGTTGAATTTCTAAAAGCAAATCAGTAGGTTTGTTTCGTTATGTGTGGACGATCCTATAGATTTATTGTTGTTGTCACATGATCGTACGATATTAGGCTATTGGGCGAGTAACGAAGCACATTGGCTGAATCATACTCAGACTATACAGTGCTACTATAAGAAACCGGCATTTATAGATCGTGTTAGTGTTATTTGACAACCGAAGCTTTCATGGTCCAATCATACGAAAATGATGAAGACAACGACTATGGGCGTGACTTGGATATTTCTGCTTGCTGCATTGTATTTTCAGGTGAGATGATGATTATGACCTGTCATTTTTTTATCGCAAGTTTTGTAATAGGCCTAGAAACCAAGCCCCTGTGTGATAGAGTACACGCACACTGTGTTTAAAATAATCTTGATAGAAATATAATGTGGTTTAGTCAATAAGTTCGATTGATCACCATCCGAATTGGCTGCTTGTTTTCTTTTTCATTTGCCTTTTGTTTTTACATTTTGTTTTTAAATTTTGGGTATAATCTGGGTAATTTGACAAGTTTTGCATACTGTCAAGGTAATTCCTGTAGGAACTCTATCTAAATCAGAGTTCCCACAGGTATTAACTGTCGAGGTAGCTGCGATAACATCACTTCTGACAATGAGATGATCAAATCAAACATTACTTGGTCATTCATCAACGACGTGAGGTAGCTGCAAGGACCATTAATTGGTAGTTAGAGCGCCTGTCTAGATAGCTCAATTGGTAGAGTATCCGTCTAGAGTTCGGAGGGTCCCGGGTTCGAACCCCGGTCTGGCCGCGCATTTTTCCTCTCCTATTACACTAGTACTAATATTAATACCCAGCCTCCTCTGCCCTAGCTAGGGTGCTTGCAGCTTGGTTTGAATCCCCGGCCGGACATTTTCTCCCACCTGTTACAAAATTGGTGCCAGTGCCCAACTTTGTTTTAAGCAATTGCATGTAGACTTGGCAAGGGGAAATCTTATCTTTAAACTGATCAACAGCCTGTTCCTTTATGAATTTGGAAAATATATCAGTATTTGCATTGAAATTGGAAATATATTCCTCAGTTTTTGGTCAATTTGGGAAAATTAGGCACTTTTTAGCTAGTGGAAACAGCCTGTATTCAACAGTAAAACTGTGCAAAATATATCACTGATGGCCTACATAGACCACAAGTCAACTGCTCAACGGACATCTGAGAGCATTATACATTTAATTAGATCTGTGTATATATGATACCTAAAGGTAGAATGTGTTTTAAAATTCACACAAGGAAAGAAAATTGATACGAGTTCATTTGCCTGAACTGTTTTTGTGCAGCGCCCTGCAGCTTCGATGACATTCTCAAGGAAGGATTAGTAGCAACAGGTTTCCTTCTCTAAATCAAACCCTTTATAATTAAAAAGATTAAACGTCCATGTGAAGTCGGTAAGGAAAGAAAAAAAAGATGTGATGACCGACTTCAAACTAGCAGTTTCAATTTCGCCCTTCACCTATAAGCTAAAGATCCCCAAGAAGGGTGAAAACTGCTAGTTTTGAAGATGGTTGTTATATCTTGTTAATCCTGAATAGATACTGAAAAACAAAATAAATAGAAAAATGTGTTTCAATTTAATTGTGAGAGCATTGGTTTTGGGGCCTGGGTGGCCCATTGTGGTTAAGACGTCTGACCACAAACATTTGTACCATCACTATAGCCCTCCACTTCTGAGTCGCTGGTTCGGGGCCTACATGGGGCATGCAGTCACCAGGAAATGGCCGCTTATACAGTGTTTTTTCCTCCATATCCTGGCACATCCTTCAATGACCCTATAACAGGTTATAAAACACAGACAAAGCATCAAGTGTTAGTACCCATGTCTGTCTTGTCTGTTCCGAATCCATTGCAGTGATTTCATTTCTGCAGAATTTTTGTTATAAGTTATAAAAAAAATGTATACAAAGTTCAAGTATGAGAAATTTTCATATGAATTTGCATTTCCTGATAACACGGTCAAGGGTACCATGAAGTTTTATTGAAAAGTGTCAACTCATTTGTAACTTAACTCCAGCAACATCATTTGATAACATGTGACAGTTTTTAATTTGATCAAACTCTATTCAAGGGTCAAGTAATGAGAATACTTTGAGTGCACATTTCTGGAAGCATAGGTCAGAGTCACTGTTACTTTTTATAGAAATTTAAACTTGTCAGATAATATAATGACACTGTGAGGAAGCAGAAACATACAAAATATACTTGTCTTACAGACAGTTAGTTCTATTTTCTTATTGTAATTTGCATTGCTAAATTGGTGAGTTTATATCAATTAAGTAAGGCAAATTTATAATCTTCAGATTGGAGAAGTGCATCTTTAAACTCATGATTGTCTCCTTTTTAAACAACAAGCATAATCAATCACACCTACATTACTAGTTCGATAACATTTTCATCTGTAATTGTTATATGATTATTGCTGAGTGATACTGAAATACAACTGTTAGATAATTGGAGGTTGGACCTTGTCCCCATCCTATAGCTAGCTTCGATAGTTCCCTGTATCTGTAGTTAACGCATCAAGTACAGGATGTTTACATGTGTGACTGCTCACGTGTACTGACTGGGCCTGGGGTGTGATAATCATGTACTAAATGTACTAGTACATACCATATATGCATGATACAACAATTTATATAAATATAAAGTATCAAATGATACACTCCTCCCCCCAATTAAGTAAGAATATTACTTTCTACTGCCATGCACTTCAACATGTGTCATGATGTTTACATGAACATACATTAATAAATTTTCATAAAATACATTGGTCAAGGATTAAATTGAAAAAGAATTAAAATTGCTAAAGTCTTGAATTACATGGCTTGTTCCTGCATATATGATCACATGATCAGCACCCAAAATCCATGAGGATTTGAACATCGTTCCCAAAATTCTAAGTTTAAAATAGTTTCCCTACCAGGAGCACAATTTCATTAAGGAAGACTAGAAAATCCCACATTGACTTTCATTGTGTCAACGTGGAAGGAGGAAAAACTGAAGGGAGGAAAAGATTGCAGTAAGACAGATTCAATTACAGTTATCTGTACTCAAAAACATACGTAGTAATATTATTCTTTAGAACAAAATTTGCTTGACAAACGTTTTAAGACATGCTAGCTCATTCAATTGTGTAAGTCTTCAGATTATCTTTACATCTCGCATGTAAAGGTGCGTTCTATCTCAGAAAGTTGATATTTCACAACTTTGTATTCTGGCTTCCTTATAAAATCTGTTCAGATTTTTTTATGGTGTTGGCGACATCTCTTTGTCAGTATTTAAACTAGAGTACAAAATGAACACTAACATGAAATCCCTGAACACTGGTTTTATTACAAAACTATCCAAGTTTGGTTGCATCTATACAAATGCAGATAATTTTTAGGCCTACGTCAGGGAAACATAGGGCTCCCAAAAGGGATAAGTAAATTTCTGAATTTTCGGTGAAGGATTTTGGTAACCGGTTTGTGGTCTTTCACCTGAGTATAACCGGTTAAACTATATCAATATTATGCATTTTCATTGACTGAAGCTTAAAACAAAATGTAGCGGTTGTTTTGTATATAAATAATATATAACAATACAAGAATTAATAAATTAAAAAAAAAATGATTTAACACCCGATATATGATATCTAGGATTCATTCTGTATGCTGAAGATATGATTTGTTGTATGAATTTTAACGAAAAAGTTTAAACAAAATCTGAACATATTTCTCGGTCAGTCGGTGACCCAGTATAAAGACCCGGTAGTGGTGTGATGGAACCATGAATGAGTGTGGAATGGGTCACCCCATCATGTCACACCTAGATATCTAGTGTAAACAACATGGCTACCTAGCTGCACGGGTATGTCGTCCGATGAAATCTTTATAAAGCTACACATACACCAGGGCTAGGATTGCAGTAGCTTCTATAAAAAGAAGCTTTGAAATAGTCAATAGATCTATACATATGACTCATATGTGATTTGTAGTTCGATTCACTGTTGTAACCTATGATACGGTACCTGCATATATACATGAACATGCATGTTATATTAATTTTAAAGTTAACCAGGATATTTTATCTTCTTTGTTTAAAAGCTATTTATCAGAATTTGTCATCATCCCAATGAGTTTATACTTAACTTAGTTTAACTTCTGAACGCAGACATATCTGCCTCTATATACTTCATAGTTATACTACATAGTTATACATGTACTTCCCTATAGCTATATTAGATGAAATAAAAATCCTTAATAAAAAACTTAAACTTTAGAGGCAATAAAATTAACATATTGCTCATATAAAATAAATGATACCATTTGTAATCACTGTTGTAACATACGATACCTGTTATATTAATTAAAAAGTTAACCAGTAAGTTTGCTCTTCTTTGTTTGAAAGACATCAGAAGTAGGCATCATTCCCAATGGTACTTCCCTATATATGATGAAACCAAAATCCCCAATAAGGAAAAAAAGATAAGAAAACATGATTTGTTTTTCAAATGAGTACCAGCTAGCAGCTTTATTATGCTAGATACTAACTAGGGAAGTTCCCAAAATTTTACAAGGAATTACATGTAAATCATTTCGTGGGAACTTGCTAAAATGAGATATTGATTTCTTAACTGGATGTTAAAAGAATTTCTAAAGAGGCCATCAATTGTTGACGTGTGAGCAATATATATATGTGTTCTTTTTGTTATTCAATGTACATCAAGACTTCTAAAGAATCAATTTCACATAATTCCAGTGATGATGGGAGAAAAAAGTCAATCATTATGTGTATTTGGGTTATATTCTACCCTCCTGTGCAGAATTTGGTGTCAGAACTTAGGCTAATTGTAGAATAACCATATATATATCCAACATACCTACACATTGGCTGACTCGAGCTAATACAACATACTGACAAAAAATTGTACATTACATGTAACATACTAGCTATGTAGATCTGTTAGAACTGTAATTAATATAAAATAAATAAAGTAATATTTTTATATCAATTAAAGGAGAAAAATATGAATTTGATTAAGCTTGCCTTGATTAACATATAAAGTACAAGTTAGAACATGTACCGTGTTTTACAGGGTAAATAGTTCAGTGGGTCAGTGTAGGCTGTCATCAATTATAAAATGTACTCCATACTTTTGATGTACAGGAAGTTACAGCACCAAAGGTGATATTCCTGTTGGTCCCAACATCATATGATATATACATGTAACAAACACTGTATGATACAGCATACGCTTTACATTTCTGTAGCTTGTTTAGGAACAGAACCTAAAATGTGGAGAAGTTCTCATTACATTTGTAAAACTGTCATGGAAAACAGGGAAATAAAAACTACATTTTCGCATTTCCAAATACAAATTAAAGGCTTTATTTCGATATTCATGAATATAGTCATTTTGCATCTTCTATATATATATTACCAGTTCTTTGACTAATTATACAACTACGTTATATACATGTACCTGGACCAGAAAAAATAAATTCAATTTGCATTTTAATATATATAATTTTGTCACTTTAAAAAATGTTACCCATTTGGTATTAATTGGTTATAAGTATTGTTGTTATTATTATCTAAAATCTAGTTTTATTCTAATTTCTAATGAAATGACTGTTCAGATTGGGAAAATAGTGTTTATTTTCCATAAGGAAGTATATTAGGGGATGTTTATCCTAAAGGGGACATGATTATTAAATTGATAGGCTGTTAATTAATTAATTTCAATTGTAAAATCTGAATGTATGTATGCATTATGATTATAGATTAGCCAGACTTATAAAATAGAGAAAATAATGTAGTGGAGATGTTTAAGATAACTTTTTTTAACTTTTATGTAAATTTACAGATTATATAAATAAAAACAGAACTCCATAAAAAAGATAATCAACAGATTTGAGATAAAATAAATCAGTGAGACCTTGTAACGCTGCCACCATTTGTCCAGTGACATTTTGACGTTATAAAGAGAGACATAGAAATGAATTATTAACATATAACATATAGGGGATAAAGAGGACCTTGACAACAGATTGGTGATTAGTGAGGTGGGAAATGACACGAGTGAGGTGATGATGATGGCGATTATTACTGTACATGATATGTACAATATAATACATTATCTACAGGTCTAGGTTAAACAACAGCTGATAAAACACCTGATGAGATGGTCATAACCCCACAGGTGAATGTACAGGTGAGAGACAACTAAATGACCTCACCATGACATATCTTGTTGATAGATCTATGTGTGACACTTCACAAAAGAAAAATTGCAATAGTCCTAAAGGGGGAGGGGGGTGACGGTCCATTAACTAAGACCCTCTTAATTTCTATTTATTTTATTTTGGTCTACCCGGTATTATGGCCAAAGTAGTTTTTGAATTTGACTAACCTTGCTGGATGTGTGGGGGTTGGGTGGGGGTGGCAAAGCTTCCCAGAACAAGCTGTAGAATGTTAATCATGACATATCATAAGGGGAGGGGAAAGGGAGACTGGGAACAGCACCTCCAACCAAGAAGGCTAGCAAAGCAAGGTCATGTACGTGATTCGACAAATAGTTTTGAAAGTTTTAAGAATAAAGATAAGGGTGTTATTATATCGGCTGTTTACCCGTATCCAAGAACGTATTCAAGAACGATTCAAAATCACACTGAGGCAAATTTTATCTGGAGATTTCTTGATAACCTGATCAAAATGTTATCAGAAGCACTCCTTCAGTCCTTATATACATTAGATCTAATCTACACATGGTAGAGCTACAGATTGTATATAATATATAGTCATAGGTAGCATGTGTGTAGAAATCCACTAATGCCCGAAGATTGTACTTGGTGGATTTATATGTTAGGTCTAGTAAAAAAGTTCTTTAATGTAAACTATGTAAGCTTTTAACTTTCCAAAAAAATCTTTCATTTAAGGATTGGTTGTCATATTTTTGACGTTTATTGGCATGTAAACTACATCGGGCTTGCAATATATTTAACGCGCACCATGTTAAATATATCGCAAGTCCGATGTAGTTTACACGCCAATAAACATCAAAAATATGACAACCAATCCTTATATTTATATTCCAAACCAACAATATTAGTTGTGCAATGTTGCGAGTATTGTTAACTGCTGTTTTAAAACTCTTATACACACCGACTGGATCAGCGGTAAATTGTTCGGAACAGCCGGGTAGTTTCGCATTCCACAGTCGTTGTCAAGGGCAACCAGGCCGACAAAAACAATAAACAAGAAAGTTCCAAAGTAAACACATCAATTTAATAATTGATTTTTTTTTTATTTAAATGCATATATGTCAATTACCAATTTGTATACTAACATGTGACCATTTTAATATATGTTGTGGTCATTTAGCGATTTAACTGTCATACAATAACATTTTAAGACACAACACAGCGGAACATCGCCACTTGGCGGTAATAAGGTCAGTGTATCACTACACTGACCAAACCCCGTTGCAGTTCATTGGAAAATATGTTACAATGGGACCAGTAGAGTTATCTAGGCACTATGCAGTGCAAATGTAAATATTTGTGCTTAACATGTGCTAAATAAAGCATTTCAGCCTTCTTTAAGTACCTGTATGTTCCCTCATGACATAATTTCTCTTAGGTTTTTAAAAAGGAATATGCAGTTTTATTACTTTTAATTCTTACTTTGAAAGCAAAATCAGATATTAAAGGAATGGCTAGGGACTATATATTTATTACAGATAAAGGAATATTTCACTGTTATTTCAAACATTATCTTTATTCTAATTTTTTTTTTCCCAAAATATATGGAGACACTTTTCAGTGTTTTGAAGATGTTACATTTTATGATTTGACCAAAAGTATTGAAGCAAGCATTATCTAAGAAAGTGTGTAGTATGAAACCCGGGTAAATCTCAGGTGAATATTAAGGTGAAAAAATACAGCCTTATATGAAACTAGATATAATTGACTTGCCATTGTTTCATAAAACAACACCTGCCTATTGTTGATAAATAATAAAATATGCTGTTGGCACTCAGAGAACATCCCCTGCAGGCAGCCATTTTGGTTTTGGAACAAATAGTCGCACATATAATTATATGCATGATGACTGGTAGCTAGATAGCCATGCATCTGATAGAATTGGACAAAATCAAAGATTGTTTTTGCTCATTTTCGTTATAAGTACTGGAGGAATCTTTTACAAAGTTCCTTTCTAGACTCACTCCTCTTAGTTCTTTACAAGTTGTTAATATTCCTTTCAATTTTAGATTGACCAAGAGAAAAAATACAAGTAGACATATTTTTGAATTTGACATTTGAAATTAATATTATCTCTTTCCTGGAAGAACGGAGGTACACATTTTTCTCTAGTGACAGCGGGGGCCAAGTGGTTAAGATGGCTTACATTCTGCTACCACTAGCCCTCCACCACTGGGTCGCAGGTTCGAGGCCTATGTGGGGCAGTCACCAGGTACTGGCCGTAAGTCAGTGGTCTTTCTCCGTGAACTCCCGCTGGCCTCCACCACCAAAACCAGCTGGCACATCCTTAAATGACCATTACTGTTAATAGGACGTAAAACACAAACAAACCAAACACATCTTTCTCAAATGTAGGTTATTCCTGTTCCCTGATTTCACCTATTTTATTTTGAGCTTTACCAGAAGAAACACGTGAATGTGAGGAAGTAGAAATCTGTCTTGTTTTACACGAGTCAATAGGTCAAAGGACAACCTTGCTTTGAGGACAATCATCACGCTGAAAAGGCAATGTTTTACACGAGTCGATAGGTCAAAGGACAACCTTGCTTTGAGGACAATCATCACGCTGAAAAGGCAATGTTTTACACGAGTCGATAGGTCAAAGGACAACCTCGCTTTGAGGACAACCATCACGCTGAAAAGACGTTGTTTTACATGAGTCAATAGGTCAAAGGACAACCTCGCTTTGAGGACAACCATCACGCTGAAAAGACGTTGTTTTACACGAGTCAATAGGTCAAAGGACAACCTCGCTTTGAGGACAACCAACGCGCTGAAAAGACGTTGTTTTACAAACAGTGTCAACTTCTGTTCATAACTTACCACTTGATACATGAACAGATACAGAAGAGAAGAAAAAATGAAAGATCACATTTAATTGAAACTTATAACAGCTTACAATGGTGGGCACAAAGATCCCTTGTAATTGGGATGTCTTGAATTTTAGAGGAATTATTATACATGTACCCCTTTTTGGAAAAAAGAAAGACAAAAATACAATCAAAAGTTAGTTTTCAGATGGTTTTATTTAGATTATACTATTATACAATCAAAAGGTAATCCTAAGTAATAAGGATGTGCAGATACCAATAGCCTGTTACAATAAAAAGCTCTCTCAAAAGATATTCATATGCTAATTCATGGAGGAATTCCTGAATGTACAATTTGTTTATTTATTCTGTCAGGCTGATGTAGGGAGGGCAGATTGTATTTGGTATGATGAATGCAAGACAACATCCACAGGAGTACAAAACTGTGCTTACAATGGACCCGCCAAGCTCCTCACAGATTCCGCGGCCTTGAAGCGAATTCAGCACTACTGCCCGGGCTTATACAAAGGTAAAATTTCAAGAGGTAAAGAGTTGCCATCTGATTTGGATTTTTACTGACCTACATTGTATGTAGAAAAGCTGAATAAGATCCACTTAGGTAAGAAGGTGAGATCTGTAGTTATTTTTGAAGCGATGCATTGGTAATTAAGTCACTATCTGTTTTGCCATTCAACTAAAGATGAGTTCTCCCTGATTTTGTTTTGCAATATTTTATCTTCTGATAATATAGATAAGGCAGTGAAGTTGTTTCCTACGTAGAAGTTTTGAACTTTCCACTTATATAATCAATACGGCCATGAAAATCAAATTAAAAAGATAAATGCTAGAATGATAAATATACCACCGTAGTAGTTTTGAAACAAAAAAAAGGATGAATTTTTTATCATTTCATATGAATTGCACATCAATTGAATTTTAGCTACAAAGTATAATTTATTGATATCTTTAGCTTATTAATCATCATTTTAATAATTTCAGTTATAACCTCGGTTGATTTTAAAATATATTGTTCACACTAGGTCCCAATGCCACTGAGACTTGCTGTAGTCCCTCCCAGATGTACACCATTGAGACTAACATGGGTCTCCCAGAACAGCTGCTACGCCGTTGTCCCGCCTGCTACTATAACTTCCTGGAAATTTACTGTTACTTGACTTGCAGTCCGGAACAGAGCGATTCCATATCAGTGAAGAAGTATACTGATAATAACACTGTTGTGGAATCTGTAAACTATGTTATGTCCAAGGACTTCGCTTTCGGTATGTACAATTCATGTAAAAATGTGGAAATGCCCAGCGCGAACGAGTTAGCTCTGAACATGTTCTGTGGGCGAACCGCTGATAAGTGCACACCTTACAACTGGCTGCAGTATATGGGGGAAACATCTAATGGACACACACCTTTTGAGATTGATTTCTACATTCAAGATGTTCCCTGGGTATCGCCTAGCACCAACAAATCCACGGTGCCCATGAATTCCACAATCACACCATGTAATAAGAAATATCAGAACCAGTCTGCTTGTAGCTGTCAAGACTGTGAGGCTAGCTGTGCTCCGATTCCCCCCATCCCAGCTCCAGCAGTAGAGCCAACAATCCTAGGAATAGATGCCTGGTATTTCATCACAGGATGTTGCTACCTAGTTTTCTTCATTGTTTTTGGAATTTCTGTGATGTGGCATAACATCATGACGAGAAACGCATTTGGGATTTACACAGCAGAAGAGCAAGTAAAGTCGGTAGAAGATGATCATTATCAAATCAACGGTCGCAGGAAAAAGAAAAAAATGATGAAAAAGGCAGACCCTGTACCATTGATTCAACAGGGAGACATAAGCTGTCTTGAGAGACTTGGGGAGAAGGTGGAGTCTTTCCTCCAGAGGTCGTTCCAGAGGTGGGGCACATTCTGTGCCAGACATCCATTCATTGTGTTGGCGATAGGAGTTATCCTGGGGGGCGGACTGTGTGTCGGCATACCCTTCCTCAAGGTAACAACCAACCCCGTCGAGCTGTGGTCTTCTCCCTCCAGTACAGTGAGGACACAGAAGGACTACTTCGATTCTCACTTCGGGTAATTGATTCCTACTTAATTCGCAAGGCCAATTTAGGAGTTCAATATTTTCCTTCAGGCATTATTCAAACAAGGGATTTATATGGTCACATCATTTCCACCATCTGTCATATCATATGTTTTCCAGTTGATATCTTTTCGATTCAGTCCTTTGAAGTAAAATCATAAAATATAAAAACATATATATACAGATGTTTTGAAGTAAAATCATAAAATATAAAAACATGTACAGATTTTTGGGTACAGGAATTTGTACTGTATACGGGGAAATTTTTGCTGCAGTTTAATTTTTTCGCCTTTTTGGCTCTCCGTTATGACGATGAATTTATCATTACAGCGGAGATTTGTAAGCAACATGTAATAAACGTAGTTATGAAATGTGAAGTGCAAATTTTCCACAAACCCTAGGCTTGTGGAAGAAACCTTGCACCCAAATAAATACTTTGTCATACTTGTGTTTTACCTGTCTCAATACTTTTTTCAGCCCATTCTACCGGACAGAACAGTTGATCATTACTCGGCCTCACAACAAAACCTATGTTTCACATAAACTGCCCCCTCCCAGCGTCCAGTCTACCAACTACTCCAACCTATTTGACAAAGAATTCCTCCACATGGTAAGTTATATACAGGCCAGGTATAGAAGAAAAAAATATCCTTCGATTCTGTAGTGTTTTCTACTACAGAACACTAAGAATGTATTGTTTGGCCTTTAAACCATTAAAAATAACTATAAAGAGTTGATAATGTGATAAGTTATAAGCTTACATAATTTCTATCAAAATTCCAGTTGTTGGATCTGCAACTGCAAATACAAAACATCAATGCAACCTACGAAAACCGGACGATCAGGTTGGAAGATATCTGCTTTCAACCACTTTCTCCGGACAACAAGGGGTGCACGATTCAGAGCCCCCTAGAGTACTGGCAGGAGAGTCATGAAAAAATTGATGCAGTCGTCTGGGAAACCATCTACAAGTTCAATATCAAAGCCAACTACCTCGACCATGCTGAATACTGTATCAGGTAAATTGTAATGGCTATTGGATACGCATTTAACATTCAAGCTAGATTCTTGGTCAGTCTTAAGCTTTAAATATCGATGATTCATGTGCAATGACGAACAATTTTTTCGTGAATTTGGGTATAATATGTCGGGAAATTTGCACCTCATTTTAATTTTTGTCTTCTGCTTTCTATAATCGGGGTTCATTTATCATGACAGTAAATATTCGTATACAGTATACCATATTTATTAATTACTTTTGGGAGCAAAATTAACACTTGACAAATATTGACTTAACCAGTGAAAGGTGAATATTTGCCTGGTCAGATGTTTCTGGGTATACAGTATTTGTATTTATAACTTCATGTCTCACTTGCTTTAATATATGTTAAACTTTTTGTCTCGTAGGATTTATCACCCTTTACTAGCTTGAATCAAGCAAACTTAGTTTGGTACGGTTTTGTTATTTCCAGTGCACCTGCGACTACCTGGGATACCACAGGCCTCAATCAGTCCTGTCTCTCAGTCAGTGGCCAGCCCGTCTTCCCTTGGATTGTCATGGGTGGCTTCGATGGTATGTATCCACTTGCTCTTCTAAGACCTCTAAATTTGGACCCACATTTACAGGTTCATTGCTTAAGATATATGCAAGGGTATTAATATATATGATAGCCTTTCTATATACGAGGACCACAAATCGTCTGGACTTGGGAGGGGGGGCTAACCCTAATTACCCCCTGGTCCCTAGCTGTCCTAGTATTACTTTATGTACCAGGTATACTGTATACCGAGAAATTTTCCCCAGGTGAAACTTTTGCTGTGATGATAACTTTGCCTTCATTATGGTAGGGGAAAGTGGCGAAAATTAAACTGCAGCGAAATTTCCTGGTATACAGTATTGTGGGCATTTGTGTGAAATATGAAAAAGACATGAAACTCTACAACCATTTTTTTTTCTGACTGATTTATAAAATCTGTATTTGTAATAGACTTAACAGCTTTATCAGATCATAGTATATCACCTCTGTATCACTTTACGTGATAATGGTTTAGTTTTGAAAGGTTGATATTAGAGGGAAAAAAACAAATGTTCAACACCAAAATGTCTTGATTCCTAAAACATTATTCTACTACACAGTAGTGGTGTAAATAATAGATATATACAAAATTAATTGTTGAAATATGTTTGACAGATTTTAAATATAAAGCTAGGTTTTACTGCTTACGTAAGGACTACCAATCAGTTTTGACAGATTTCAGATAAAAAGCTAATTTTATACCACTTAGGTATAAAGGACTACCAATTAGTTTTGACAGATTTTAAATAAAAAGCTAATTTTATACCACTTAGGTAAGGACTACCAATCAGCTACAGCCTTCGTCATCACCTTTGTGGTAAATAACCATTTAGACGAAGCTTTAAATGGACCAGCTGAAGCTTGGGAAAAGGAATTTATCTCATTTATGAAAAATTACTCTAGTCCAAACATGACCATCGCCTACTCTTCAGAGGTAAGTTTGAAAATGTTTCGAATTAAATTGAAATGTCGAATTGCAGATCCAAAAAAGGAAAGAGAACAAATATTTTTGCTAGATCAGGTTTTGTTGTTATGTTCTCTATCTGTTTTGAAAACAAATTGTGAAAAATCCAAAGTAAATGTTTTGGTACACTATAGTTATTTTTATAAAGAGCCCTATTCCGTCTTTGCGTATTGCATAGTTATCTTCTCTTGGGAGCAGGGATTGATTGTTACGTCACTTGTTTGTGGGAGTAACGTCATCAATTTTTGAGAAAACGACGTAATTTTCTCACACAAACCAATGACGTAACAATCAATCCCTGCTCCCAAGAGAAGATAACTCTGCAATACGCAAAGACGGAATAGTTAAAAGGAAAAAAAAAAAGGGGGGGGGGGTGGAAAATCCATGTACTTTTGAGATACTTTAATTTGATGTGCTGTCAAACTCAAGAACAAATTTCCGGTCTTTGTGACTATTTGCAGTGATATATAAAATGTTAACAAAAAATTATTGTGAAATGCATTTATACAAAAATTTTGCTAGGATATGCATGATTGTATGGTAATTTTGTTGGTGCTTGCAGCGTTCCATCGAAGACGAGATCAACCGTGAAAGTAATTCAGACATCTTGACCATCCTCATCAGTTACTTGATCATGTTTCTGTACATTTCCCTGACCCTCGGTCAACTCAACCACTGTTACTGTCTGGGGGAGCGCATCGACAGACTGCTGGTCAGTATAGGCCCCAATATCCCAAACATGAGTCCGCCTCGAGCCAAGTTTGACCTGAAGTCTCGGTGTTATTTCTCCCCCCGAAATTAATTTTGAACGCTTGAGGCAGTCAAAATGTTTATGATATATGGGGACTAGTCTCTTAGTTGGTCGTAATATTATCGTATGCATAGCTTATAACGCTCCCATAACTTTTTGATATCTATATATGTATATATGAGTAACTAAGTATGATGCCTGGTTGTTGTCAAAAGCATTATTTACTATAAATGTCATAAGTTCATGGTGAAGATTTATAGCATTTTCCCCTTATTTTATGACAAAATGTATATTTCATTATATTATGAATGGAAAAATATTTTTCTTCCATGATTACATGAAACCTGGAATTTCTTTTATAAAGTTAAATGTAATATGGCAATTAACTAATACAAGACTGGTGTTGTAGGTCGACTCCAAAATCCTATTAGGTCTGGCGGGAGTCACAATTGTGTTGCTGTCTGTAGGAGCGTCTATTGGGTTCTTCAGCTTCTTAGGTATACCTGCAACCTTAATCATCGCAGAAGTCGTCCCGTTCCTGGCCCTAGCTGTTGGAGTTGATAACATCTTCATTTTAGTCCAGAGCTATCAGGTAAGCCATGCAAGAAAGCTGAATTGGTAAATTTGATTATATTTTTGGAGATCCTAGATTAATTACAACAATATGCTTTGAAATATTTTTTTGGCGACCCATGAATCTGTTTTCTTGAAATCGCATACTTTAAGTACCAATGAAATTTTAACCCTTGTTGGGGCTTAAATTGTCATCTTTTTCATATATATTTTTTTTAAACCATTTTAGTACTCATATATGAGATAATATAGACTACAATCTTTTCTTAATGTGATTGTCTGGTATTTATGGACATTTCTTCGCTTGTTCCCAGAGAGACGTTAGGCCACCCTCGGAGTCCCTGGAGGATCAGATCGGTAGAATTGTAGGACGGGTAGGACCGTCCATGTTACTATCCAGTCTCACAGAGACCGTCGCCTTCTTCCTAGGTGAGTCAGGTCACATTAAGTTTGCTCAAAGGTCAAATGTTACACTGAGTTGATGACTGTAAGGCTTTTCTTGATTAATATTTCACAAGTAAAAAATTTGTGTTCATTTATTGGGATGTTTTCATTCGTTGCTTTTCTAGACATTTTGATTGGTCAATGGTAGGATCTGATATGTTTACGATGTAGGGATAGACATTGTGTCAACAATGTTGTTTTCAGGTGATTTTAGCAAAAAACTTTAAAGGTCAGCATGAACATTAATGTACAGGTCCATCAGGATTTACCTCATCCTCAATACTCCAGTGGTTACACTCTCTGTACTCCTGGAATATGTCATAGCAAAATTGAAGGCACATGGCTAGCTATTTGATACGTTTGGGGTAAAAAAAACTGACTGATCACTAGGCTAATACATTATAATAATAATAATTTGAGGTTCTTATATACCGCTTTATCACAACCTAGTATGTAGGTCTTCTCAAAGCGGTTCACAAATTATTATCCGTGAATATAGGGCCTTTGCAACCAGCCAATATCTTTCTCAACTCCCAGGGGAGCATACAGCCGGTGCTGCAATTTCGGCTCTCACAACTAGCATTCTACATTTCTAGCACTGCCCAATTCACATACTCATTTATAATTAGAGCTGTACATGTATAGACTGGAACAAGCGGAGTTAGTATCTTGCTCAAAGATACAACACAATGCCATGCCGTGAATCAAACCCACAACCCTTTGGTAAAGAGCCCGGCGCCCTACCACTAGACTACAGTGCCTCCTAAACATGTCCTTTGAAGATTATAGAGGAGTGAGGATGGATTTACTCCTAAAATGCTCTTTTTGATACTAGACTTACATTTCGTAATAAACAATGTTTTGGCTTTGCTTGTGTTAAGGTGCCCTGACTGACATGCCTGCTGTGAAAGTGTTCTCTCTTTACGCGGGAATGGCTGTATTCATCGACTTCCTTCTCCAGATCACCTGCTTTGTAGGACTCATGACACTCGACGCTCGCAGACAGGAGGTACGTACAGATACAAGATCTGTATAAGGAACTGTTCAGTTGTCAGTTTTGTGTATTAACAGGTCGTCAATTGTTTTGATTAATTCATTATTTAATGTATATGTTGATTGTATTAATGTTTAAATTGTATATATCTATGTACTTAAAGGCACTTCAGAGTAGCTTATCCTAGCTAGATGGGGCACTATATCAAATGTTGTATATTTTTATTTATTTTAAATGATATTTATTGATGTCCATCAATTCTACAGTTAATTTACCATTTTCAAGATACATTATAAATCAAAATGGTCCCCTAGAGTATTGTTCAAGTGTTTCTTGAATCTAGGTAGAGGCCCAGTTAACTATAAGTTTGTTTAAACTGACATAGACCATAACACTTCAGTAATCTGTTAACTTAAGTACATCCTATTAGAAATAGATTTTTATTTGTAATCATACAAGGTGGATGCGACATGTCGTAGAGAATTTTTCTGTAAATTTCAATAATTTTCTTTTGTTGTAAAATGTTGTTAAGTTGTGAATGGCTTAGTAATTATGACTTTATACATTTAAGTAGCATGGTAAAGGGTCAGTCTATTTTGTCTTGTCATTTGCTAGTCCATATTGAATATTTTGACAAATTTTTTTTTGTCACCTTTTTTTCACAAGAATTTTCAAATAGTCATTATCAGTATCCAATATACAATCAAAGTGAGGAGTAGTTTACTTGAGTGAAATACAAGTGATCAGAAACATCCTATTTTACACTGTGTTGTTGTTTTTGGCAGAGTCACCGTTACGACATGTGCTGTTGCGTACAACTTCACGAGGAGAAGAGTGAAAAGTCTGAGGGCTGGCTGTTCCGAGTGGTCAAAGATTACTACTCCCACTTCCTGCTCAAGGAATGGGTCCGCCCCATTGTCGTAAGTTTGTTGATTTAAAATCTTCCTGATAGTGACATTTTTATATTATGGCTTTACTCCTATGTTCTTGTCGAAGAAAACAACAGCTTAAGTTTTTATATCCAAGAAATGTACCAAACACCTTCACATTTAATTTGTGTTGAATATATTATTATATAGCATGTTTATGATTTGTGATGATTTTCTATTTGACAGGTTATAGTCTTCACCGGCTGGCTGTCGATCAGTTTTGCGTTAATACATAAAGTTGATGTAGGCCTCGACCAGAAACTTTCCATGCCTGACGTAAGTTTCTACACTTTTTGGGTCGCCTGCAACGCGTGGCAACATATAGGTATTACTTTGTCGACATCGTCGGTTGCGTGGTCCCAAACAAGGTTTCCATGCAATAACTTGAGTTCTCTTGCTTGATTGAACTCAAACTTGGTACACATATTGCATACCAATATAGCTCGGACAAGTTCGCATTTCAGAAGTTTACGTGCGTTTTATGTGGAGTTATGCCCCTTTATTGCTAAATAAGAGCACTGTGCAGTAAATGCAAGAACTTTTCTATTTTTTAATCAATTCCTTTCAAATTTTGTACAGTTATGCTTGAAGCAATAATGTTCAACATATATTACAGGTTTTTCTGTCGTGTTTCAACTTTCCGCATTTTGGCATATCTGTTAATGCGATAACTCAAGCCAAAACACTTTTCTTACTTAAAGCGCTGAGCAGGCGACACATCCACTCCGGTGGAATTCTTGTTCAACGTAAAAACAATTGTCCATTTTTTTCTATGTTTTATTTGTTTTTAATACTTGAATTGTCCACAATAGTAATTTTAAAAGATCTGGCTAGCTCAACCACTGTTTCTGTATTGAACAGGATTCTTATGTGCTTGACTACTTCACAAATCTGTCGGAATATCTGCACGTTGGACCTCCAGTGTACTTTGTGGTGGAGGAAGGCCATGATTATATAACAATGCAGGGACAGAATGATATATGTGGAGGGAATGGATGCCCGCAGGACTCTCTGGCTGGGCAGGTGTATACGGCTTCACTTAGACCTAACTAGTAAGTATGTTAAACTGTCAGACTGTCGCGACTGAGTATACACTGCCTCACTTAAGTTCAACCTTCATGCTGCTAAAATAGTTATATATCTTATAATGTGTTACTGTATGTGTTGTATCTGTGTACTAAGGCCAAGGTAAAATTATTTCTGATGTCTACAAAAGAGTACGAATAACGTTAATTATTAATCAATTTTATCAGTTTAAACTTTACATTGTTAATAATGATCTTCATTTATACTTAAACAAGTAAAAAAGCAGATATGACTTTTTGGGAGCAGCGGTATTTTCATATTTAGCGCACAAGGGACACTAATGCTTAGTTAAACAGTTATTGTCTGGCCTGCATCTTAACCCATGCATCAAATGCTGGATGCAGCCTACCTTTCATTGTCCATTGACTTTGTCAGCATTACGTTTTTGCGTTCAAGTTAGTTTCTCTGATATGTGCATTGATGGTCAAAGCAGGGCACAGGCGAGACATGTCAATCCGAATGGCTTGTTGTGATTTGCCAAATTTAAGGGATTGTTTGTTTTGTAGTTCTCGGGTCGCTCAACCTGTGTCGTCCTGGTTAGACGACTACTTCAGCTGGCTGAACTCTGGAGGCCACCCGCAGTGCTGTCGATCCTTCATCAATAATGGCAGCTTCTGCCCGTCTACAGGTGAGTTCAAAGGTCATAATAAGGCATTGAAGTCAAAGGTCAAAATGAATGATTACCTTTATATTATGTATTTGACTCACAGGAATAAATTGTTTGCAAGTAGAACTTCATGTTTGTTGTCATTTTGAGCTTTGTTGTAATTGTCTTCTGGTTTGCTTTTCCAATCACTCTAGGATGATTGAACACAATAAAATAAAAGATATTGTTTGTACAGTCATAAGAGATGAAAAGGGAAATAAATGTAGACATTAAGTTTTACTTTGCTCATCTGACTATGTTGTCTTTATAGTCTCATTGGTTTGTCACACAAAATCATTTAGACATTCTAAAAAATTGACTGCTGCCGAATAGTTGATTTTGTGTTTAGATTGTATGCAAGAAACAGAAATCGTCTCTGATGTTAGGTATGGGAAAAACATTCAAAACTTAAGTAATGAGCAGAGACCCTCAGCAAACCTTTGGTTTCTGTTCAGCATTTATACTGTATTGTAACTTTTTGAGCTTTACAATTGTAAATTGACCACAAGTTCCTGTTTCAGTGCCAGATAATGTAAGCTTGTGTGAACCATGCCAGCTTCACGGAGCTATTAACGGTCACCCAGTCAAAGAGGACTTTATGAAGTTTCTACCGTGGTTCTTAAGTGACAATCCGGGCACAATTTGTGCTAAAGGGTAAGTGTTCCTGCAAAACTGATACATTCAGTCTCAACCATTTTGAATTTCTTTTCATTTATGAACAAATTTAAAAATGTTAATACCAAAAATCTCACTGGTGATTAAAAGATCAGTTCTAGAAATTCAACTTTTTCGCAGGCCATTCAACTGTATTGAAGGGACAAATTATTTTCATCTTAACGCGGAAAATGTTTATATATTAAAAAAAAATAGTTTTATGCCTATTCATTTTTGTCTCTCTGCCAAAAAGAAGCGGAATCGAGGCTAAGGTGTTGCTTTTCTGGCGGCAGTGTCAACATTAAGGTTTTGCATTTAAGTTAGGTTCACTGAAAGTATAAGTGCTAGACCAACCAAACTTGGACCATAGATGCATCTTAGGTAGTATATCTCAACTGATGGATCAAATGCTGGATGCGGCCTAACTTTCATGGTCCATTGACGTTGTCGGCATCTCCATCAACATTAAGTTTTTTGCGTTTAAGTTAGTTTCTCTGAAACTATAGGTGCTAGACCAACCAAACTTGACATGTGCATTGATGATCAAAGCGGGGCACAGATGATACATATCAATGCAAATGGCTTTTTACAAATTTGTTTTATTCCTAGCCGTTTTAAGGAGTTATTAGGGTGAGGGAAGGTATTACAATGACTACTTTAAAAACTAACTTTACGCAAATTTTTCCTATTTACGCACAGTGGACATGCGGCGTATGGCAGTGCTGTGGATCTCCTCCACAACAAGACGGGCGTGGGAGGTAAGTTGCTGTCAAATTTTACTTTGACAAAGTCACAACCCAGACACAAGAATTTAATGAAACGTTTTCTCTGTCTGTTTGTGGTATATAAACTAAGAAGCCAATAACAGGTTTGACAAACAATACTAAAGAACTCGTCATATCTTGCATCACATGTACAGATATCGTCATTTGTTATCTTTGATCTTTGATTACAATATGACCTTTACTTAAAGCCGTCCCCATGTAATATCTTCATTGGTTCGTTACAAAAGATGTCTTTTTCTCATCTTTTCAATATTAAACATTTCTTTTTCTCAAAGTATTGAAAAATTTGCATAAAAATCATTCTAGTCTCCAGTCTTAAGTTCATCATATTAATTCTGTTGAAATAATTGAAAGACGGTTCTCAGTTTTAGGATTTGAATGGTTTTAGTATGCCCAATTGAAAATATATGTATAAGATTGTCATTAATTAGCTTCGATGATGTTTAAGATTGTATTGTTTGATTTTTTTCAGCTACCTATTTTATGACATACCACACTATACTAAAAAACTCAACTGACTACATAGAGGCCCTGAAACATGCGAACTCCATCGCGGAGAACATCACAAGTCTGATCGGACAGAATGGCAAACAATACAAAGTATTCCCATACAGGTAGATATCCCAGAATGTCACAAGTCTGTAGTATATATGTTTAAATTCTGTGCTTGAATTTAAAAAATAAATCTATAAAAGCAGAAATGTGTTGTATAATAACTTTTTCTGCTCCCAAATTACTGTAAATGGGAACTCGAAACCGTTTGACCGACATGTATGACAATACCTTTACTTAAATCATTCTAAAAGGAAACCCATGCCTTACAAAAAGTTTCTGAACAAATATTTAACCTGAGAAAAACCAGCAACAGTGGTTTGAGAAGAAAAATGCAATTGGATGGCCGTTGACAAGCTATGGTACTAGCTATGGGAAAATGTGATTATTTCAAATTACTCTAGTGAAAATTGAAGCTTCTGCTTTTACTAAAAAGAATGCAAAGATGCTTTTATCTTTGTTTTTGCAGTATACGTTTGACTTTGTTTTTGCAGTATTTTCTACGTATTCTACGAGCAGTACCTGACGATGTGGAAGACCACTATCACCAACCTTTCCTTGTGTGTCATCGCCATATTTATAGTGGCGTTCGTCCTCCTCGGGTTTGACTTTTTCTCCGCTCTTATGATTGTAATAACAATCACGATGATCATCATCGACATGTTTGGCTTCATGTACCTATGGGACATCTCCCTCAACGCTCTGTCACTCGTCAACCTGGTCATGGTGCGTCACATTTCATAATTGTAATAACTGTATAACGGGAAATGTTGGCCTTCCCCAGAATGCTCCATATTGGCCTAGTGTTACCTTTACCTTCACATTTAATTCATATGCATATTATGTTATGTAATTATAAACTGGCCCCTGTAATTATAAATTGGCCCCTGTAATTATAAACTGGCCCCTGTAATTATGAATTGGCCCCTGTAATTATAAATTGGCCCTCGTTACTTATTGCAAAAACATGTTTACAACAGATAACTTCTGCCCATTTACAAAACTAATGACATTTAATATTTGTTCACATGCTATTGTACATGATTATTTCACTTAAAAACCGAAATTAACACTGGGCTTGTGTGGGTTTTACTGTCAATGGTGAATATTTTAGGGGAAATTTTCTTGTCATTACTAAAAAAAGTGACTTTGTCAAATTCTTTTATCCACTCAAAGTCAGAATTTTGTTCAAATCGGGCGGAAATGACTCTCTTGAAAATTGAATTGATCACTTTCAGTTAAATTCTTAACTTGAAACAAAATACCATTTTAATAAACCAAGTTGTTTTCATAATGCTTGATTATTATAATTTTGTTATTTACAGGCTATAGGAATTTCTGTGGAGTTTTGTGCACACATCACTCGTGCCTTTGCTGTCAGTCTTCTCCCCACGCGAGTTGAAAGAGCGAGGGATGCACTGGCAAACATGGGAAGCTCTGTAAGTGCTCAACTGCATTGCATATTTCTTCACGGAAGAAAGGGCCACATATTCAAAAGATATTGCCCTAGAAATGTCTACTCCTAGAACTTCTATATTTCAGATATTTGTTTCAAGATATTTATCATAATTATCAACAATTTTCATCCCAAAAAATTAATATTTATTTAATGACGACTAACAGTAATTAAATATCAGAAATACTTGACCATTTGTTAGCACCGACCTTGACTGCATCTTTTGACCTTGAAGAGTTGCTAGCCACTTGTAAGCACCGACCTTGACTGCATCTTTTGACCTTGAAGAGTTGCTGGTCACTTGTTAGCACCGACCTTGACTGCATATTTTGACCTTGAAGACTTGCTGGCCACATGTTAGCACCAACCTTGACTGCATCTTTTCACCTTGAAGACTTGCTGGCCACTTGTTAGCACCAACCTTGACTGCATATCTTGACCTTGAAGACTTGCTGGCCACTTGCTAGCACCAACCTTGACTGCATATTTTGACCTTGAAGAATTGCTTGCCTTTTGTTAGCACCGACCTTGACTGCATATTTTGACCTTGAAGAATTGCTTGCCTTTTGTTAGCACCGACCTTGACTGCATATTTTGACCTTGAAGAATTGCTGGCCATTTGTTAGCACCGACCTTGACTGCATCTTTTGACCTTGAAGACTTGCTGGCCACTTGTTAGCACCAACCTTGACTGCATATTTTGACCTTGAAGAGTTGCTGGCCACTTGTTAGCACCAACCTTGACTGCATCTTTTGACCTTGAAAAGTTGCTGGCCACTTGTTAGCACCCACCTTGATTGCATCTTTTGACCTTGAAGAGTTGCTGGCCACTTATTAGCACCGACCTTGACTGCATCTTTTGACCTTGAAGAGTTGCTGGCCACTTGTTAGCACCGACCTTGACTGCATATTTTGACCTTAAAGAGTTGTTGACATTGATTTAATGATTTATAACTGATGTTGACCTTAGCCCCCTGTAGAAGCTGACTTGACCATGTGTTGACCTCTACTGCCTATAATTTGATATTTCCCTTATCCTTCTACAGGTGTTGAGTGGAATTACACTGACCAAGCTGGGAGGCATCATCGTTATGGCATTCTCCAAGTCTCAGCTCTTCCAAGTTTTCTACTTCAGGATGTATATGGGAATGGTGATCTTTGGTGCAAGTCATGGCCTTATATTCTTACCTGTACTCCTTAGTTATATAGGTAAGTACTTAACATGATGCTAGACCTCAGGTAAAAGAAATACCTGTGTTTTATCTGTCTGCAGTTAAGGTAAGATTTTACAATGTTGGTGGTGATGATTGGTTCCCTAAAGATTTTCTAGTCATTAAGTTTAAAAAAACATATTTAAATATGTTATTTGATAGCCTAAGAAATATATTCATATATGTTTGTATGGAAATTCAATATTATTAAAAACCTGCATTATAAATAATTAGGGGACCATTAATTAAATTCTTGTGTAAAACAAGTTGTTATACTGTAATAGAATAATATAGAGTTGATACAACTTTTTGTAAGTGTTGAACATTTGTATTCCCTTTGGTAATTAGAGTGAGATTTGTCACAGAAACTTAGAATGAAAATATGCAGGGAACCGTTAATCATCTTTAACTGTCTTTCTAGGTGTTAGTCTACATGTTGCATGAGCGTATGGCTTATTGAAAAGGAAATTCATACTAACAAAATATTCAGATATTTCTGTTTCTTTTCATTGTCCATCTCTTTGCTGACCAACTGAAAAATAAGGAAACATTCTAACAGTAACAAATTACTTGTGTAACACAATTATGAGATGAATTATGAATGGTATTTAAGTTCTCTAAAAGGACTGATAATATTTGGTTAATTTTGTATCAGTGAAGTGAAGTGAGAAAGTCATCTCGAGAAGTTTGATAATTTTTGTATTCTTCAGTTTTCATTTTAAATGTTTTGCAATTATTATTTTGATGTAAACAGTTTCTGGCATAGGATGGACAATGACACTGGTTGACATTTGAAAACTATCAATGTTTGACTTGGAAAAGTTTGCAATGCATGGCATGATTTTGTAGTATCTATGAACATTTAAGTATTTCCTGTTCCAATTTTTAGTTAAAACTCTGTTCATGTTGTTTTTTACCCAAGTTCTGTCCAGAATTTTTGCTGACATGAAACTTTACATAAGTTCACGAAAATCTTCAATCACACATATACCGGGGTAATGGAAATTCTAGATACAACAGATTAGATGGTTTTATGTCGACCTTCTGTTATTATACTGTATTGATTCATTAATCACCTGGACAGTATCTCCACACAGTATATCTGTATAGATGAGTGAGTAAGTAAGGGGGGGGAGGGGGGGGGGCACTTTGGTCAGTAAATATTTTTTCATATTCGGAAATTTGGTTAATTTTGTTTTTGAGAACTTAGATTAAAAACCAGTGAAATACAACTGATTTTCGGTATGAGCCTGTAATGATTTTGAAAAATAAAAAGTCCTTATTTTAAATATATCTTTTAATGAGTCTTGAGTATACTGGTAGCATTTTAATATCCATGCATGTTTCCTCTTTCTGATTTTGTTTTGATTTGTTTATTTACCTGTTTATAATCTTGTTTATTTACCTATTTATAATTTGTTTATTTACCTGTTTATAATGAGGTTTTTTACCTGTTTATAATTTGTTAACCTACCTGTGTATAACAGTATAATTTTATTGTTTTTACCTGTGTATATTAGCCTGTTTCACCTTATATTTAACACCTATCACTAATTCACTAACATATAATTTTTATTACACAGTATATTTCGTTTCACTTTAACCCAAATCACTAACATCAATAATGCAAATTCAATACACCCACCTTTGTTTTCACCTTATTTTGCATAATTTTGGCCGGACTAACATTTTCAAGACTGCATGAAATTTTAACTGCATGAAAAATTTTGCCATGATTAGTGCAGGGGAACTGATGAAGTCTGAGATTTTTATGTAGAAGTACACTTACGTGTTTTGCCTTATTTTTCTTATAGAGTCTGGTGTCTGTAAATTCTGGTGTCAGTAAAGCAGAGTTTGACTGAACTACATTAAAACATCAAGCTCAAAAACTCAGTATAAAATCAGCTTTTTAACTCATTTTTTTCACATGCTCTTTTTGCATTTTCTCAAGTTAAAAAAAATCATTGTTGATACGAAATCCAGAAATGCTACTATGTAAGCTATTGAACGGCCGAGACAATTTTGGTTCATTTTCAATCAAAGAGATCAGTTTTTGCATAACCTTGTACAAATGTTTCTGCTTTTGCCTTTACCAAGTATAATTTTAGTTCTTTGGGTCAATATTTTTTTATTTTTTTTTAAATGAAAATAATCTGAATATTTAGTTTTGTTCATTAGATGATATTTGAATAGATATAAAAAGTGTTAATTATATACTTGTATATCTTGGTATTTGTTAATATTCTAAATTTTCTAGGTAAATGAAGAGATGCAAAATAAATCTGAAATTTAAGTGTAGTAATGAGAGAACTCCCAGATTTCTTTTCCTGAATTTTTTTAGGAACAAAGATTTGTTACAATTTTTTTATTCTCAATCTGATGCGAAATTTTGAAGAATACATAAAAATTTCAGACTGCATGGTTCATAAGAAACTGCTGCTATTTTTTCTCTCTTTTACTCCAACAAGACATAGCTTGCCGTTGTTTATTTTTAAAGAGAACATACTATTTTGGCATACACGATTGCCCAACTCAAGGTCAAGGTCATTCAGGCTTATCACAGGGTTTCGGCTAATTGATTTGAGATAAATTAATTACAAGTCGTAATTTTTTCCACTGTGTTCTATTTCACAGGTCCACCATTGAATAAGGCCAAACTTTACAAAAGCCAGAATTCAAATCGGGCTGCGACAACCCTTGAGAAGTATGATCGCTTTGACACTGTTGGGCAAATCAAAACTAGGTTATGAGGTTCAATGTTAACGGTGTTTAATTGATTTTCATTCCACAGGGCCACCATTGAATAAAGCTAAGCTGTACAAACAGCAGCATGCCAAAAACACCTTGGACCACATCCAGGAAAATGATACAGCAGGCCTGACTGACAACGATGAATTTAACGACAACCCACCAGATTACCAAACACTGTAGTTATGGCAACATAACAAAAACAAAGTCATGTGATAATGAATAGACACGCTCTGTCATAAAACAACAACTTGTGTTACTCTGGTAATTCAATGTAATGTATTGCATTGATGTTAAGGTTATATGCTACTTTATAATAGATGTGATTTTGTGATAGAGTCACCTCCCTTATTTTAGATCAAGGATTCTGGAAAGAAATTAATTTTGAATACCACTAGTCAATTTGGGTAGAATTTCCAAATTTCACTGACCTAATAATATTCAACAAGATAAAAAAAATATCAAATTTTGACGAGCTGTTTTTAGAACCACTAGCCCAGCTGGAGATTCTGCTGATCTCAGACTATTGGGCTACCCTTATTGTCAGACCCTGTAAATATTAAAAAATAGTGTCTGGTAATTTAGACTGATCAGTGAATGCATTCCTGTGTAACTTTCCAATACTTGATAACCAATTTTTATCTACCATTTGTACAAAATTTCTAAAAAGTTGCAAGAACTACTTCAGAAATTATACATCACACAAAGGTAGCATACACCCTTAACTGGCATATTTGAGTGCCGACTCACTTACTCCAATATGTCTTCTACATAGTTTGCTTTTGATCCCAGAGATTTCACGCCGTCGGAGTTTGACTATTTCATGTTCCTGTGTAATATTTTGCGACCAATTAATCATTATCATCAAGTAAACATGTGTTGTGTGTTGATGTATTCCTTGCCGAATGTGATTTGAAACACTTGTTGATCCTCATTAAATCAGCCACAGCTGTCCAGTTGTCCTGTTTTATCAAGCCAGTGCTTTGCAGAACAGCTATACAAAATTGTCCTATTCATCCAGGCATTTCACCATCCTGTCTCTTGGAATGAAGCTCCACTTCATGTAGCGCTCAAACTGAATATACCTGTGTCAATTTCTTCCGAATTTGTTAATGATCAGGTGGTGTGTGTCTATAGTGATGTTACAGTATTTGATATTTTTTAACAATGAAATCAAGAGTGGAATACTAAGTCACTCATTCAAATCTGAAGACACATTTGAACTCGTCTAATTCAAATGTTGGAAAGGTTCATTATGTAATTTCAGGGGTGAATGAGTTAAATATATATACAAGTATAAAATAACGTGTCTCTAAATTGATCTGTTCAGGAATTTTGGGTGCTATGTTTCTCTATAAAATACATTTTCATTTGAATGGTTTAAATTGATCTTTAAAAAGGAGGCAAATTGACATGATATGAAGCAGTCATCAACTCACATCAAGCAGTCATTTCATTAATTTCTCTATCAAATATAATCTGGCCATTATTTATAAAAAAAACAAAATCATCTCATAATTTTTGATATACATGTATATACCAGGTAGAACAAAGTTCCTAAAAGTGCTATTGATGTATGTTCAGGATAGATTATAATATATGAATTGATAGTTTGTAAGAACTTTCCGATACAAAAATGTTCGTAACAATTCTTGAAAGAAATATACATTGCAGTTAAAAAAACTGTATTTCATTATTTTGATTTATTTCGCTGTTGAAAATGTAATAAATACCCAATTTCAAGGGAATTCACGTTCTAATTCAGCTTTTGCCTTGGTGTTAACTCATTCACCCCTGGAGATGTATTTGAACATTTCCAGTTCAAATGTTGGAATAGTTCATTATGAAATTTCAGGGGTGAATGAGTGAAAAGGCTTATATATCAATTAGTTAAAAGTTTTGTTGTATTTCTGCTAAAAAACCTGAACAAACTGTGTGCCTGTTAATGAGAGCTATTAACAAATTATTATTGCCATATATGCCTTGTAATTAATTAACTCAGTCACCCCTGAAGACACATTTGAACTCTTCCAATTCAATGGTTGGAATAGTTCATTATGAAATTTTAGGGGTGAATCAGTTAACTGTAGCTGTTGATGTTTGTATCCCATGTACCATAATCATGTCATCAATATTCATAATCGTTATGACTTCAGGTGTATCATCCAATGTTTTATTGTTATATTAATATTTGACTGTGTTTTCACTACAATGAGATTATATATATAATATATTTACATCCACATTTTTAATTTCATGTCAATATATGCATATTCAAGATTGTTTTGTATTACTGAATGACCTGTGAGTTTGTTGAACATCTAAATGACATACAGTGTTTCCTGAATTATAATGAAGAAAATTAAATAATAATATTTTGCATGATTTGCAAAATATTGTTGACATTTCAATTTTTTCCATAAAACATTTTCCATTGTTAATGTTATCCTTACTCTAGTATGTAGGGTACGTTTCCTTAGTTGACGAGCATAACTACCGTTATATCTAGTACACTGATTTCGTAAGCATATAATTATTGATAATTTTTTTATGTAAGGTTGATTCTTAGGAATGAACAAAAGTATGTAGAATAATGAAATCTGATAGGGCATGCTTACAAGGCATTCTTAAGGATTTAATCCTCGTATGTCACCAGAAGTTTTATAGGGCATGCTTTCAGAGCATTATCACCAGGTTTTGTGAGGAAACTACTAAGTTTTGCACACATCCTGTGTTGTTGCTTTACACATCAGTAGATCCATTAACAGGCGGCTTGCTCTCGGGCACCTGATCAAAGCTCTTGAATGCTAACAGGTGAACTTGAAAAGATAGAAAATAACAGATTCACCTCTGTTGTTGCATGTTACTCCTGAATGGAATGGTCAGAGAAATGGAAAACAGCTGAGATACAAAGAACATGAAATCAATGTTGGCCTACTTGTACGTTCATTTTTTTATTTATTTTTTCAGATCTTAAATTATCATCTGCCCTTGGTTTCATTTTTGAGTATTTATATATACACGATCTTTTCATATTTAATGTATATCTAACCAGCCAGAAAAGAAACAGGTGATGTATTTATATCAAAATGAAATTTTTCAGACAACTAACACAACTTCAAAAGCCATTTTTTGGCAGTGTTGTCATTTTCCCTTCAGCGTGCTGACCTATGACTACCTGTTAGTCATAGACAGAAAATGTCAATTTTATTTGACATAATTGTCTGTTGATCTCAGTTAGCGCAACAAATAACATTAGAAAATTGGCCAGTTTCATTTGGATGAACAGGAATTCATATTTAACATTAAAACTTAAATTCCTATTAACATCTCCATTGTTATACATTGTGCTGCCAAATCTCTTTATAAGTTCAAATTGTCCCAAATGATTACAGAATATCAATTTTATTTATTGTAAAGAATTTCTGCAAATCTCTTTATTTTTGGCAGGCACTAAACCAAAAATAGAAGGTTCTACAATGCAAAAATTATATTGTGAATATGAGTCCTATATGGTATAAAAATTCCAATTGTGGGTATGCAAATGATATACTCTTTGCAGGCTTTTCAATCAGAGACTTATTTATGCTGTCACTTTCTCATGATATGTTAGTAATTAGATTGAGGATCTAAGAGTCTTTGTCCTCTGTGTGAACAAGATTCTCCATCCTCTGGGTGAACAAGACTCTTTGCCCTCTGGGTGAACAAGAGTCTTTGCCCTCTTTGAGAACAAAACCTTGTCCTCTGGGTGAACAAGACCATTTGTCCCCTGGGTGAACAAAACGTTTTGTCCTCTGGGTGAACAAGACCATTTGTCCCCTGGGTGAACAAGACCTTTTATCCCCTGGGTGAACAAGACCATTTGTCCTCTGGGATACATTTTCTGTGAAGGGTAAAGGTGGTGCAATATCTGGAGAAAATGCCTAAATGATTTTTTATCACAAAGTCGCCATGTTGTTCAGGAGATTACACTTTAATATAACCTACTGCATCATCTTAAAATTATGTCCCATATTTCTAAATGATTTTATGATGTCAAATTGAAGACAATTGGATACAGAGCCAAAATGACAAAATTTAGATTCAAACAATGAAATGGAAAACCATTTTATTTTTGTTTTGCCTCATTCTTGACCGTGTGATAAAAAAAGTATTGCATTTGTTTCCATGTTATAAAATGAGAGGTGATCTTAAATGAAAAATTCTCACACTTGTTTAATAAATCGCATATGAAACAGGACCTTGTATGAACTAATATATGTCTAAGGAATGCAGTCTTGTTATACTATTTATGGTCTAAAATGAGCAGGATACTTGTATACCCTGTGCTATATATGTTGTGTAATTTTTATAATTGCATATTTGTTCAACATTGACTGGAAGTTTGATTTATCTACTTTATTATAATATTGTTAAATGTGACCTTTGTCTATATTGATAATGCTTAATGTAGATTGTCAGTTTACACAAAAATCATCAGAACACTCTGGTGCTGAAGTGCTATTTACATAATTACAGGTGAAATATTTGTTAATAAGTAATTTATGAAAATGATCTTATAATGGTAGACCTGCCTTTTATAGTTTGTTCAAATATTGAAGATTTTAAGTTTTTCTTTCAGTTGTGCTCTTGTCCCTACACATACTTCCTGATATGCGTGTTCCCGGGGAGTACACTGTAAATTATTACAGGTGTTTGTAGTTAATCACAAACAGACATTTAGTGCTTATTTGATAATTATTTTAATTTACCAATTTAAATTGTCATAATTATTACTGACTTTATTACATTTCCATGGGCTATTGTTGTGGGCAGTGTTTGGTGCTGTACGCTCCTGGTTCCATCTTTAATGGAAGGAGATAGTTCAATTTATTATGTTTAAGGCCAAACAAATAATATGCATGTTTCATGAAATATGACTGAAAAAAGGGAAGGTTGGTAGGGATTTTTTTTTTTGAGGGTTGGGGGAATAATTTAAGAAATTACAAAAATCATCAATCATAGTTATTTAGACCAATTGTATTTCTTGTTCATTATATTTTTAGGTCTTTTAAATAATAATATTGGATTTAAATTTGGTTTTAATACCTGCCTATGAATAAAGAGATGTCATAAAGATGTTTACGGTTTTTAGTGTGTTCAAATGGGGGGGGTTTCAGTGCAATCTATACCTATTCTATGGTGAAATCATGGCAGTTGTCAATTAAGTCTGTAATGGTGTGAATGAGACAATAATGGATGAAATAAAAATGAATAAATAATTCAAATGAAAGGAATGTGTTAATTATTCTTTATAAGGATCCCTGTCCCACTACACAATGTTTTTCCTATATAAGTATCTTCCCCTTAGCTTCTGTGTTTTTTTATTTACTTGATATTCAACTTTGTGTTGAACATTTCATGTGCCCACGATTGGTTAGTGAATGCATCCCTTCACGCATTTGGGTATTCCTTAATTAGCTCTGTGATCCAACAATATGACTGACAGCCTTCACTCTCTTCATGCAAGCGCTATATATAAGAAGCTTCTTTTAATATTGTCTAGTGATTGAACCATTACTTGTAACCAAAGACTTTCAACTAATGCTAGTGGACACTATCTCTTAACGTCAAACTTATTGTCAATGGTTTCTTTTCTATAAGCTGGTTTCGGGACGATACTAGCATAAATCTACATGTATAACAACCAGATGCATCTTGCACACAGGGGAGGCCGTCCTTAAATGACCTTAGCTGTTAATAGGACGTTAAACAAAATCAAACAAACAAACAAACAAATTGTTTAACTTACAACATGGACAGCTTACTTCCATGCTATTAGAATGGGCAGGACAATTTCGACTATTTGATTGTGAACTTTTCCTTTCTTTATTGTAGTATCCCTACTTCCCCTATATAAGGTGCTTATATGTCACAGTGGATTCAGTATTCTTCATCTACATCGTTCACTGATCTGTTGACCATTATACAGTGTTGCACAGCGTTTCATCAGACTTAAATATATATATTTAAAGAAGAAGGACGGAAAATAGTGTATGTGTATATAATGTGTGTGTTTCTTCGTCTGCATAAGCCAACAGATCTGCCAGTCTGGCTACCGTAGCGGTCCCTGGGGACAAGCCCGAACCGGCATACATGTAGCTCTTACCATTGGCCGAATGAAAAACCAGCCTCATTGATGGGAAGAAGCTATGCCTAAAAGAGTTTTTAGAGGAGGTGAGACAGCCATATTCAAAGGAGTGATTTCGTCGGGTGGAAGATGTAGAGGCTTTCAGGTAGTCCTTGGCTCAGATGTCTAATAAATCATAGGCAATTTTGTACATGGTTGTAAGCTGAATCTTGAGGCGTCTTGATTTCAGTGAAGGATTGTATCATGTCGAATACACTGCTGGTGTTACAGTATCTGTTTTGTGGTGTAACGAGCTGCTCCCCTTTGAACTATTTCCTGCTGGTCAATCTAGTTCTTGGTGTGGGGGCTCCATACAGCTGAACAGTACTCCAGGTTGGGGCGAACAAGTGTGTCATATGCATGGGCCTTGGCCTTGGTGTCTTCATTGGAAATCTTCAGATTCCTTCTGAGGAATCCAAGCATGCTGTTTGCCTTCTTACATACTATATCAGTATGATGTTTCCATGTGAGGTCTGCTGAGAGATCCACCCCAGATACTTGCGGGTACTGGTATCTTCTAGGAAGTGACCTTTGAGGTGGTACTGGGCTTTTGTGATCTTCCTGTTCTTTCTGACCCTCAGAACAGTACACTTGTCTGGATGTAACTCCATTTCCCACTTGTTTTCCCAGTCAGTCAGCTCTGCTAGGTCTTGTTGCAGTATGTAGCTGTCTTCTCTTCCTCCTATAACCCTGTAAAAAATGCAGTCATCTGCAAATAGTCTGACCTTATATGTGACGTTGTTAGGAAGGTCCTTTATGAATAGGAGGAAAAGGAGAGGTCCGAGACTGGTCACTATTCAAGAGCTTCCTCCATATATCATGATTTCCGTGATAGATGCGTTTCCAAAGATGCGGGTTGAGGAAGACTAAGAACAAGTGTATGGTCACCATCAGGATCTCATGGGGATATGAATGTCATTGTTTTTATATTATGCTCAATGGTGTCTTGTGGTTTTGTTCACAGGGACCTGATAATTTGTTACAGCTATATTTGGACCTAAAATAAGGTGTTCAGAGTAATTTTACATGTTTTAGGGGTTTAGAATGACTTTCGGTAACAAAACATGTAAATTCAGTAATTTCTATCAAAATGAATATAAATACACTAAAGGAAGTATAAGGACCACCTCTTTCTAATTCTTTCTTTCTTACATTCCACTCAGTGTGTTATAGATTTTCCTTTTATCATAACTTGATACGTGTTTGCTAGTCCTTTATCCGACTTTGATTTATTCAGTTAAAACTCTGGTATATATTCAATATTTATATTTAAAATGTGATGGTCGTCGCCCAGAAGTTTTTCTGTGAGATTTTGAAGGTTTAAAAACATATTTAGTGGTCGTTATTTGGGAAGTTTACAGAGGTCCACTATCGAGATGAAAACTGTATAAGAACGCCGAATTCACATATATTCAATTAATTGTACTAATCTTCAAATAATTTAAGATAGGTAAAATTAATTGAAGAAAGGTTCAATTCAATTGAGGATAGGTACACTTAATTGAAGATAGGTTCAATTCAATTGTACTCATTAAATAATTAACATGTTAATGAATTGAACCTTTTAATTTACAAATACAACATATTCTCAATTGAATTTGTAACAGCTATATTTGGACCCAAACTAAGGTGTCCAGAATTTTAGATGTTTTAGGGGTTTAGATCGACTTTCGGTAAAAATTAAAACATATTTAGTGGTCTCTAACTGAATTGAACTTATTTTTAATTAGATTGGACATATCTTCAATTGAATTGTACCTTTCTTTAATCAAAATGGGACCTATCTTAAATTGAATTGTAATTATCAATTATTTGAGGATAAGTACAATTAATTGAATATATGTTAATTTGGCGTTCCATAGAACCAGAGTATATATATACGTCTCTCATAGAACTGAAGCCCTACGTACATAGTGCATTTTAATTTTGTTAGGAAGCATCATCTAACATCAGCAGGATGATGCGAGGGCACACATTGCAAGAGTTTCTAGTAACACGTAACATCGTCCCTCTATTATAGCGGCATCGATATAGCCCCGACTTGAACTTAATAGGAGACTTCGGAATCGCCCTAAACAAAGGTGTTCAACGTTTTAGCCAATTTAGGGGTTTAGATCGACTTTCGGTTAAAATGCCACCCCAATGATATATATATATATAATCAATGGGGTGGCATTTTTACCGAAAGTCGATCTAAACCCCGAGTAAAACATCTAAAATTCTCAGAACACCTTACTTTAGGTCAAAATATAGCTGTTCCAAATTATCAGGTCTCTGTGGCCATAACCATCCAAATAAGCGTGCACACCTTAGCGAATGTACTTGTCGAGGGATGGACCATTTGAAGTAATGTACGATAGCTGTTCAAGAAGGACACATGGTGTTGGGTAACATTTTCACAATTATGCCGCCATTTTAACTTTGAGTAACATCGACTGGATACTCTTATAGTTATGAAAGAATAACACATTAAAAATATCTAAAGATAAGTGTAGGCGGTTAGATCAATTAATAGTCGAATTTAAGTATTACATCTAAACTTTAGACATATGCTGCTCAAAAACATTATTTTATTGACCTTTAAATTTGAAGTTTCATTTCTTTCATCGTTTCATATGGTGATTAAACATTTCCGTTAAAATAGATCAATGGTTTCTTGTCATTATTATTTACATTTACAGCCGCGTCCGGATTCTGTAACGTCTCCTTATGTACACATTATTATTAGTTTGTTAACACTACATCCGGGTCGGCGAACAGTGGTTCTCCCCATGTGACAATATATAGGTCAAATAGACACCAAAGTCTGTAATATATTGACATAATGCCAACTGATTCAAGACGCTTAACAGGACCTGAAGAAACGAAGAGTCCATATGCATATGTTAAACAAAAGAAAAAACTTCAGGTATACGAATTTAACTACTGACATGCCCGTATTGGTTTCTCATTTCTGCTTCCTGGTTCCATCTTGTCATTCATGTCATTGACATAAGATAAGATGGCATTATATTTGTTTATAATATAATATGTCATGTGTAGTAATATTTATAACAAAGGTTGACATTTTTGTCTTGAAGTACACGATATCCTCTCACTTCAACTGGCGATGATTAACAGGATCGAACTTTATAATGCCATATTTTGGGTCGATTATACTATTCAATAAATTGAATTGCATTCTATTCGTTAAAAAGGTACACGTGATTTGAAGTCATAACAACACATCTATCGCATTGTATCATATATAATAATAATTTATAATTATTGTTATCACATATAAGATATATTTGCATAAGAAAATGCAATTAATTGCAGAGGTTAAACAATGAAATAAATATTTAATTAAGTATCACATTTTGCTTGATTAGGGTATTTTGCTTATTGATAAAACAATATTTAGCATTGGCCATGGCAATCCCAATGAAAATTCTATCTAAACATTGTTACAGTAGTCCTTAGAACCAGGATAACCAGAAAAACCTAGGCATTAACTTACAGGCCACAGAACAGATTGACTGCTTTTTCAAGAACTGAAAAGCAATATGATGTTTTTTTCTCGTTTGTCTTTCTGGCATTGGTTAGTTTTTTTAAATGACAAAAAATAAGAATATATCAAATATGACCTAAGTTTATTCAATGATAAAATTCATCTAGACTTCACACAGGTTTGATTCAAAGTAGTTTCAACACAAGGTCCAGATGAGCATTGCAGGTGGATTGGGACTCTCTGTTCATAAAAGACCTTTTTAATTTCCACCATAATGCTCGCTGGATAACAGTTGTAGCTTGATTAATGAGTGTACATTGATCGATTATACTAAACTTATATTTTAAATTAGGTCCTCACAGGAAAGAGACACGATGGGCGATCTCCAGAGACACTCCGGCCTATATGTAAGTACTGTGGCATAATTAAAGGTCATTGTTGTTGTACATAAATGATTTGTGTTGTCTGGGATATGACAAGACAGAGAGGATTCAATTCTGCTGTTGAATACATGATTGCAGATCTGCAAATATTACCTCGCTTAGCATAAAGTGCCTGTGCCCTTCTTAAAATAGATATTGTGCATTGTCCAACATTTATTCATCAAATTTTGCGTTAACTCATTCACCCCTGAAGACACATTTTAACTCTTCCAATTCAAAGGCTGGAATAGTTCATTCTGGGATGAATAAGTTAAATAATTTCTGTAAGAAAATATCATGTAAATGTTCTTCACCTAGCTGTCTTAAAGGTCAAAGGAATCCATTATACCATAGGGGCATGCAACTACTAATACTATTGATCTTATTAGGATGTATAAGTTATCAAGTGCCTGAAAGTCTAACAGGATTAATATTATTAGAAGTTGCGTGCTCCTGTGATTATGCTGAAAACTTTAACAACATATAAATAACCATAAAAAACATCTGATCTCCAAACATCTGTTTCTAACTTACACATGATAATCTAGGCTATTCTGGATTTCTTTACCTCAATATGTATGATAATATATATATATCTATCAATTAAAGTAATTTCAGGATGTTTACTATGCAGTGACATGATGCTATTTCTGTTAATAGTCCTGAAGGCAGATGTAGTGAGTCAGGCGAGGGGGTCAGCCTACATAGAACAGGACAACACCAAGGTCATGTGTGCAGTGTAAGTAGTGTATAGTAATACATGTACAATACCGTAATTACTTTGTAGGGTGGAGGGTCAAATGGGGTATTTACATTTAAGGTAATACATATTCTACCAGTATATCTTTCTTAAGGATATTCTATGATTTGTGTTATCACCCTTAAGGATATCTATCTATATATCATATAACAGGCACCAAAATGGCTTTAATGCGGAGGGAGTTAAGTGTACGTGCGATACTTAGCTTTGGTTAATCCCAGTTGGTAGGGATTGATGCTTTAAATGCCTATGTTCCGCACCTGTTGAATATATGATTGCTGATGCAAATTTCAGCTCCTTATTCTGTGATTTGTGTTTAGAGTTTATCTCCCTTAAGGATATTACAGTTTGTGTAAAGACACCATCCTTAAATTATTCAGCACAGGATCTTGCCACTGTCAATAAGGAGGCATGGTAGTTTAGTGGTAAGACGCTGGGCTCGTGACCGAAGGGTTGCAGGTTCGAGTCACGGCACTGTGTTGTATCTTTGAGCAAGATACTTTACTCCGCTTGTTCCAGTCTGCTCAGCTGCAAAGGAGTATGTGGTTGGGCAGTGCTCGAATTGTTAAAAACTAGCTGTGAGCACCAAAATGGCAGCACCGGCTGTATGCTCCCCAGGGAGTTGAGAAAGGTATTGGCTGGTTGCAAAGGCCCTATAACCAAGGATAATAATTTGTGAACCACTTTGAGACGACCTATGAACTAGGTTTTGATAAAATATCATATAAGAACCTTGAATAATTATAATCATACACTTAACCTAGGTTGCTATTTAGAAATTTTAAATGCATATCACAAAAATTTAAGATATATCTGTACCCTGCCAGGGAAAGCAACAGGCCCAATATCAGTACCCTGGGCCATTTGGTTATTGAGAAGAAGTTGTTTGAAAATTTTAAAACATTTGACCCCTGTGACCTTGAAAGGGGGTCAAGGTCACTGGGGTCAAATGTCTTAAAATCTTCAAGCAACTTCTTCTCAATAACCAAATGGCCCAGGGTACTGATATTGGGCCTGTATATGTAGCATGCTGGGATGAAGGACTACCAAGTTTGTTTAAATGAACGACATTGACCCACTTTCAAGGTCACAGGGGTCAAACGTCGTAAAATCTTCAAACAACTTCTTCTCAATAACCAAAAGACCCAGGGTACTGCAATAAGGCCTGTAGCATGCTGGGATAAAGGGCTTCCAAATTTGTTTGTTCAAATGAATGACTTTGACCCACTTTCAAGGTCACAGGGGTCAAATGTGGTAAAATCTTCAAACCACTTCTCAATAACCGAAAGGCCCAGGGTACTGAAATTGGGCCTGTAGCATGCTTGGATGAAGGACCACAAGTTTGTTCAAATGAATGATCTTGACCCACTTTCAACCTAATGTCCTTGTTGACATTCAAGGTCACAGGTATCATATGTTTAAACTTTTAATAGGTTCTTATGAATCAAACACTGATATTCTGCCTGTAGCTGTATTTTAGTCCACTTTTAAGATTACAAGTGTGAGATTAATACCAGGTGAGCGGTGCAGACCCATTAGCCTCTTGTTGAATTTATCACATGCTTTTTTAAAATCGAAAGCTAAGTTTCAAAAGTTTACTATAAAACCTACAGGTATGGTCCTAGGGAAGTGGGACGTAAGGAGGACTTCAGTATGAAAGGTATCATCAACTGTGTGTTTAAGTACGCCACATTCTCGTGTCGATACCGGCGCTCATACCAACAGGACAGCGAGGAGAAGGATATGTCTGTACAGCTATTGGATGCCCTGGAACCAGCCGTGTGTATGGTGAGTTACGTCCCACCTTTATCTGACGTAGGATGTCTGTAGACATGTATGAGAAACTTGTGAATTGGTTTTCATGTGTCAGGTCTAGCGAATTTCGGTTCCTGCACATGTTGCTGAGATAGGATGATTTGTACGCATGTTGTGACATCGCAGATCGGGACTCCGTTGCTCCAGAAATCTTGTACTCCAAGAGAATTTATTGAGATCAGCTGGTCACATTCCATATGAAAAAGTTTTAAAAAAATATAAAATATCCAGCCTGCATGGAAATTGTCTAGTCATCAAATTCTTACATGAAAGTTGTTGGTGATCAAATTTTCAGATACGATGACATCAACATGACCACATGGTCACATTTGTTAACACTCAGGTGTGTGATCAGGCACGTACTATAATCCTACTGGCAACAAAAGGAAAGGGTGGTTTACTCTTGTTCTGTTGGAATATTAAAAAAAAAAAAGTCATTAAACACAAAAGTTATGTGTTGTTACGTGGATATTTATAAATCTTTAAACTATTTTCTAATTTCCAGGACAAAGATGAAGGTAGATCAGTTAAAACGATTTATGATTTAGGATATTGATTCCTTACAATAATTGTTGACTCAAATGGGGGCTGGCCATGCATTTTTCCACTCCTTCTACATTTGTTGCTTGTGAATCTGGGTTGTAAATTGTTGTGTCTTTGGGGGCAAAGACTTGGCAAAAAGGAGTAGGAATGTAGCAAAACTGGTCTGGGTCGATTGTGGGCGACCAGATAGCTCAATTGGTAGAGCATCCGTCTAGAGTTCAGAGGGTCTCGAGTTTGAACCCTGGTGTGGCTGTGCATTTTTCCACCTCCTGTTACAATAGTACACATGTTCATTAGTAGTATTGGTATTTTGTTCAGAATCATATTCTTCAATCCATTCGACACAGTTCCACACCATGCTCTGAAGACGGCCCCCCTTTCGCCGAAACATGTCAGCACGTAGGATGTGAATCAAACATTACATTTTGTACCAGATTCAGTGGTGTTGTTGCTCGTCATTTCTACTTTCATTTACTCATTCCACACAGTGTATAGGCCCGTATCAACATTCTTTGTTCTTTTTTTCAGCACAAATTTCCCAAAGCTCAAGTGGATATATATGTAACAGTTCTACAGAATGATGGTTCAGGTAAGATCTAAATCATCTACTGGAGTGAAGGTTGATGGGTAATTATCTGCTGAAAATGATGGTACGTTGTAAGTAGATAATGTAATGAAATTAAAGCAGCTAGATTATTTGAGCTGAAAGTGACTAGATCATCTATTGTAGATAATGGTGAATAGATTTTCTGACTCTTCTGTAATACTACGGCCAACGGTTGAGTACACCTAACTGTAACATGATGACAGACTGAATTCAACACAACTGAACAGTTTTACTCACAACATTTGATATCTACAACCGTAAACAACAAATGCAAGACTCTAAGAGATTGTGTTTTCCTAATATAACCAACAGTAAGCCTTTATTATTTATGCATGTATATTAATAAAGGGTTGTTGTTCTTACAGCATTGGCAGCAGCAATAACGTGTGCTTCTGTAGCCTTGGCCAATGCTGGAGTCGACATGTACGACCTTGTGGCGGGGTGTTCTGTGGTAAGTTTGACCTTGTTGCAGGGTTTCTGTGGTAAGTTTGACCTTATGTAGAGATGGACAGGGTGATCTGTGGTAAGTTTGACCTTTTGTAGAGATATATGACCTTGTGACAGGGTGTTCTATGGTAAGTTTGACCTTGTGAAGAGATAAATTACCTTGTGATAGGGTATTTTATGGTAAGTTTGACATTGTAAGTTTGACCTTGTGTAGAAATGTGTGACCTTGTGATATGATGTTCTGTGGTAAGTTTGACAGTGTATGTTTGACCTTGTGTAAAGATATATCACCTTGTGACTGTGTGTTCTGTGGTAAGTTTGACAGTACATGTAGGTTTGACCTTGTGTAGAGATATATGACTTTGTGATAGGGTATTCTATGGTTAGTTTGACCTTGTGAAGAGATAAATTACCTTGTGATAGTGTATTTTATGGTAAGTTTGACATTGTAGGTTCGACTTTGTGTAGAAATGTGTGACCTTGTGATATGATGTTCTGTGGTAAGTTTGACAGTGTATGTTTGACCTTGTGTAAAGATATATCACCTTGTGACTGTGTGTTCTCTGGTAAGTTTGACACTGTAGGTTTGACCTTGTGTAGAGATGTATGACCTTTTGACAGTGTTTTGTGGTAAGTTTGACCTTGCGACAAGGTGTTATGTGGTAAGTTTGACCTTGTGACAGGGTTTTCTGTTGTAACTTTGACCTGTTGTAGAGATGTATGACCTTGTGTTAGGGTATTCTGTGGTAAGTTTTATGTTGTTAATACATATTTGACCTTGTGACTGGCTGTTCTGTGGTAAGTTTGTCAGTGTAGGTTTGACCTTGTGCATAGATGTTTGACCTTGTGGCAGGGTGTTCTGTCGTAAGTTTGACAGTGTAGGTTTGACCTTGTGCAGAGATGTTTGACCTTGTGACTGACTGTTCTGTGGTAAGCTTGACAGTGCAGGTTTGACCTTGTGCAGAGATGTTTGACCTTGTGACAGGGTGTTTTGTGGTAAGTTGGACAGTGTAGGTTTGACCTTGTGCAGAGATGTTTGACCTTGTGGCAGGGTGTTCTGTGGTTTTGTACTTTTTGAACAATTATTATAAATGTAAATCAAGAAAATATGTTAGTTTATAAAAGATATCCCTATTTATTTACTAATTTTCGAAGCTGCAGTTAAATTATAATATCTAATGAATATTTTTTTGTATTAGACACAGCTCCCATTTGTGCAGAAGAAAAAGAGTTTAATCAAACTTAGATTTTTGAGATGCAAATATTGGTTATTCTTGAAGAAAATATACATTTTGGTGATTTCTTTTTAGAGAATTGCTGACAATCTTGTTCTTGTGGACCCCACAGAGAGTGAGGAATATAAATCTCAGGCAAGTTGTTAAAATTGTACAACCTAATAATGTCCACACACGTTCACAAAAAATGGTCATTACTTCCATCAATGACACAGCTAGAATTTCCCTACTGATCACTTGTTGCAGGTGAATTCAACCTTCATTTCAAGCTTCAGTCACTATCTTAGTATTCCCACATGTATAACATTAAGAAAACATGTTATGGAAAATTGTAGGGTCTGGGAAACTACGTGTTACATTGATAATATCTACTCTACTGAATGCACGATGGGATTGCCATGAATTAATCACAATGTCCATCTATCCATCTGTTCTTCTGTCCATCTGTCCATCCATCTGTCCATCTATCCATCCACCATCTGTCCATCTGTGTGTTTTTCCAGAAGTTTTGAAATTTCCCAAACTTTTACAGGGTGATACACTATTGTAATCAGATGTGTAATACTGTATACTTTTGCCCTTCGTCCATGAAATCAGTTTTCGCCCGGCGTGAATTTCGCCTTGCACATTTAATAACTACCAGTAATGTCCAGTATGTTAATTATGCTGTTTACTTATGTAATGATATGCACCCTCAATACTGAGGTCAAAAAATTAGACGTAAGTGAAGATGTCCTGGTATACAGTAGTTGTTTAAAAACTTTCTAAGTTCAAGGTTGCTTACTAAAAATAGAACAGATGAAATTTACTGTGTGATTACATGTTGTTCTCCTGTCTGACCCACCAGTGTCCGTCTGTTAAGAATATTTGATGTATATCCTTCATGGATTTGTCTTAATTTGTTTACAGGATGACAACCCAGTGAACCATGGAAGTGTGACTCTGGGTTACATGCCATCCCTCTATCAGGTCTCGGCCATCACCTCCAAGGGAGAAATCGAGTTTGAGGTCATCAAGAAGGTGAGATATTATAACATTATATTTACATTTGCATTGCAACCCACTATATGAACATTACCAGCAGAAATGCATTTTATTTGAGTATGAAAGCAAAAACTCTCATGACGTATAACATGGTTTACTTATGACGTCATAGATTAACCTTGTTCAATGAGAAGCTTGTCGCTTTGCTTCAAATAACATGGAGATTGCCCCTGCGTCAAACGCTCCAACGACTTCAGTTAATTATTGGTGCCAATTTTATTTAAATAGAGCTGTTCTGCCAATGTTGTTTAAAGAACGACGCATATATACAAAATGCAGTAAATATATTACTTATTTAAGAACAAATGAATAAAATTAAACAATTGTTCTATTTTAAAAATGTAACTATATGGATTGAAGGGCATATTTAAATTTTCATGCCGGTATGAATATAAAAAAAAAACGCCATTCAATCTCTATGTGATCCCAGTGTCATATTGAAATTTGTAAAATTGAAATGTGTAGTCTTGATTAGGTGTGAGAAAGAAAAAGTATCAACTTTGTATTTGATAATCCATCATTACATCAAAGTGTTTGCCTATTGGAAATAATTTGTTTCAAACATCATGAGAAATCTGATAGTATCACTGCCTTGCCAACTATAAGTTATTGACTCTATGTATAAAGTGTTGACTGGGAAATTTCTGCCCAGTCAAACTTTTGCCCTTCGCTGGTAATATCCATGACAAATTCACCGTTTGTCCTCATTACAGATGACAAAAAAGGCATAAAATTAACTGCAGAAAACTTTCACGATAAACAGTATACAATGATGATGTAGTATCAAGGTCTTTGCAATGCTTGTCAATTTACTGATAGAAAAACACAGTCAACCAGTTTTTATACAAGCTTTTTTTTATACATTTGGTAAATATCATTGTTTAACGGGAGTAGCATGACACAATACCAGCCAACCAGGAGGTGTGAAAAATATCATTTTATGATCATATAGAATGTGTGTTCAATACCATAACACCTTTTAAAATAATACATCTTTTTTTTATGCAACAAGTTAGTGTTATACAGTAAGATGATATATCTATACAATTATTTGGTTGGTTTTATACCATTATGTTTAACATGACATGCTTGTACAACAATATTTTGGTTTCATACCTTATCTCATTCACCCTAGAAATCTCATTATGAAATATGTTAATCTTTAAATTGGAAGAATTCAAATGTGTTTTCAGGGGTGAATGAGTTAATTTATATGTCTTTATATAAGTTTGGTTATATGAAATTTAAGTTGTTTGCTGACTAAGACTTTTGATGTAACACTTCAGAGGTTGTTTTATAGTTGTTATCATTGTTGACATTTATGTATTTTATATATTCACTTTTTACAGGCAATCAACCTGTGTGGTAACACCTCTCAGACTCTCTACCCTGTACTCCAGAAGTGTCTCAATAACTCGGTAACTGATAAACTACACACGAAGAGAAATAACAGTATACAAACGTGATACTATACTGAACAGTGCTATTATAAGATTAGAAAACGTGCCTATCTGATGTGAGGAACAGTGTGACAGCAGTGTCGGCCTTATCAGTGCGATTTAACCTCGCTAATGTGAGTGACAATCTGCCAGCAGTGACGATCCAGTCAGTGTGATTTTGCCTAACTGTTGTGAGGGACAGTCTGATTTGGCCTGAATGTTGTAAGGGACGGTCTGACAGTAGTGATGACCTAATCGTTGTGATTTTGTCTAACTGATGTGCGGGTCAGTTTGCCAGCAGTGACGACTTTTCCAGAGTGATTTTGCCTAACTGTTGTGAGGGACAGTCCTGTTTAACCTAACTGTTGTGAGGGACAGTCTGACAGCAGTGATGATCTTAGCTTAAATGATGTGAGGTCAGTTTGTCAGCATTGACAACCTTATCAGTGTTGTTTAGCCTAATTTATGTGTGGGACAATCAGACTTAGCCTAACTGATGTGAGGAAAAACATGACAGCAGTGACGATCCAGTCAGTGTGATTCAGCCTAACTGATGTGAGGTACAGTCTGCCAGCAGTGACGACCTAATCCTTGTGATTTTGCCTAACTGATGTGATGAGACAGTGTGACAGCAGTGAGGTTTATATGAGGGACAATCTGACAGCAGTGATGATCATATTGTGTTTTTTTGCCTAACTGATGTGAGGGACATTCCTGCAGCAGGGATGCTCTGATCAGTGATATGCCTATACACGGTGAGGTCTGAGTTACATCTACTAAGCTTTGTCATTCCCACTTTAAGATTTTCAGTATGCCAAATTTTATAGATATAATGTGTGTCATTCTCACTTACTCCGATCATCAGTATTCTAAGTTTTACAGATCTAATGTGTGTCACTGTTGCCGTCTTCTGACCATGAATAAGTTTTACAGATGAAATGGTCGCCATTTTTACTGTGTAGGAACCAGATCACATGTCATAACCATGATCATATAAATATAATCATAGTGCTACAGTACAGCCGAATGTTATTGTATCTGTCCAGGATTTCTTGGGGAAAAAAATTAATCTCAGACTTTACCTTTTCTCAGAATATTTTTTATGCCGTAAACATTTGGTTTACAGTAAACCCCATTTCCTCCAATTTGGTTTATTCGAATACCCCTCATTCGTCGATTAGTTTGTTTGGTCCCGACTAAGATCGTACATATATATTCTTTGTAAAGTAACCCCAGATTAGTTTGTTTGGTCCCGACTAAGATCGTACATATACATTCTTTGTAAAGTAACCCCAGATTAGTTGAACCGTTATTCCTTGAATACTCTGTATTCCTCGAACAAGATTTTGCCCCTGACTCTTAATGGTCATATATGTGACTTGAGGCACAGGCTGCGGTCAACGCTCATTGTGCTTATACAAGTGTCGGATGGACGTCATATAATTGGAGGTTTAAATTTAACGGCAATATAATTAAGTAACTGTACCGGTACCCTGTTGTAACTGCATTATCATTTTGTGCGCATATTCATTATTTCCAGACGATGTTTTGACGTAGATGATTTGGCGGAAGTGTTAATTCACTGGGTGTGTAAACCATAATTCGGCATGGCAATATTAATTGGTATAATCACAAAGCAGATTCTTGACCAACTGAAACTTGGATACGTTGTGATTGTTAATTTTGTTATCAATCAACAGTATGATATACTTTTGATATTTTGTAAAATTTAGGTAGCCAATTACAGTGTGGCAGACTATGTCAAAACGACAAAAACATTACACATGCAGCTTTTTAATCTTATTAACTTTCTTAATACTGGTGGCTATATGTTTTCATTGTTTAATCTTATTAAATGCTCTCATCTTGATTAAGTATTTTTTTTCTTCTATCATCTACTATCTGCAATATTTGCAACTTGCTTGTACTGTCTATCTGTTGTTCCATCTGGGATAAAAAAATGACTGTCGGTCGAACCTCGGATTCGTCAAATACCATATATTCATCGAACTGTTGACCTGGACCCAACAAGTTCGAGTTAGTGGGTTTTTACTGTAGTTACTAATATAACTTTGAAACCATATACTTTAATCTTTTGAGACTGATGATCTTACAGAATGATATCTCCCACTACCTCTGTAGATTTCCTCCTGGCCGTGTCTGTGAATTAATCTGCTAGGCATTAGTAAACATTTTTGGCTACCTACTAGTGGGTAACACCCTGAACATTATTTCTTTGATCAATCTAATTATGACGTCAGATAACAATGCTTTGCGACGTGACTTTCATTGTGACGTCGTAGTTTATGGCAATTGTTTCCAGATTGAAAACAGGAATAATGTATTCCCTAGAGAAAAATTGGTTATCTAGATAAAATATTTGAATGTTTTTGGGAGAAAGAGGTCACCAAACTTGTGAAGGTTGATTTTCATGTTTATCCAACTCTCGTAAGTTAATTTTCAAATTGTAAAAGACACTTGGTTAACCTTGTGTCTTTATACAATTTGATATTAACTAACTCAAATTAGATAACATGATATAATTACAAGCAGCCATCACTTGAAGTGGCACTTCTATATCATTGTATGAATTTATAACAAGCACAATACATATATCATAACACTGGAAAAATCATCTTAGAATGAAGAAATAAAGAACTACGGTATTAGCTTTATTTAGAATTTGAAAAGTATTTCATAAGACATGAACATTTTATGGCAAAATTTATGCTTGGGTAAAATAATTATTTTAAGAAATGCGTTGATGCAGCTCAAGAGACGAATAATGCTCATATTAAATAAAATAAATTTATAAATTAGTATCTGCATTTCTTTTGTACAGTTCTATAAGTTAGTACGTATATGAATATACCTAGACTTCTTTTGTATAGTCCTTAGCTAGGTAAACCTACCATCCAAAAATGTTTTTATAATATCTTGGAAAGTAGTTACGTATTGCATATCATCGGGCGGCTAAAAAGCTGGCAGCCAAGATCAATTTGACTGATCATATACAATTATGCAAGTGTCACAAGTCCGTTTGCTGGATATAATATTACATTTACCATCGAATGGCATTGCTACTATATAACCCTACTAAAAGCCAGTTGGCATTTTTATAGACTATGTCATGGATGAATTGTTGACGTCACCATTATTATGACCTCATAATCGTTACATTGGATACCAGTATACGTAGCCCTCCCTGGGCGATTGCTATTCTATTCACTGAACAAGCATACACGACGCATTTACATCATTTGAACTAATTGCTGAATAAAAATAAGTGCAATTGAATTTTCTATGACATGAATAATTTATAAAATGGTAAATATAAGCATTTAACTGCAAATGCAATGATGCGCGCTAGCACTCCATGTTGGATTTGGCTTTGTGTAGTTGGCACGTTTTCAAAATATGAGTACATGGTAATAAAACTTAAAGTGACGTTGCGTGGGCCCCTGGGTCCCAGGGTTATATTTGTAACATAGTGGAAAATGCAATATTGAAACAAATTCTACTTCCTGCCTCCCCTGCTGTTTAGGGAAAGAAGGCTAGTAGTAAAAAAAATAAAAACATATCTGCAGTAAAATAAAAAAAATAAAAAATCTGTTTGTTTTTTAGCGGTTTTCTCTATCTCTTGTAAGAAACCATTTCTGTGTGCAATTTTAGAACTTTCCTCTATATATTGTATGAATTGATTTCCTCATGAAGCCCCAAAAATGGCTGTTAAGGGAAAGAAGGCCAGTAGTAAAAAAAAACGAAAATCATATCTGCAGTAGAATAAAAAAATATTAAATAAAGTCTGTTTGTTTTTTAGCGGTTTTCTCTTTCTCTTGTAAGATACCATTTCTGTGTGCAATTTTAGAACTTTCCTCTGTACCAAAAGAAAAATCTCCTGCATTGAAATAACAATGTTATACATTCATAATAAGGTTCATCTGTAATGTCATATTGGTAAAATACCATAAGATTGCAGCCGTTTAATGTTCTTTTTCAGCCAGCATTGGCATATGGCGTATTTTGTTAACAGTTTTGGGTTCTTTGTTGGCTACTACGGATTTAATATCCGGCAGAAGTGCTACTGCTAATTGAAGGTCGTCTTAAAGTTTGTTATTAGCGGTTAGAATATGAAATCTAGTAAGGAAATCTATAACTTTTTCACCGAGTCTTTGATTGTTATTAAAGAGAGACATGTCTAAGACATCAGTATCGGCCTTGAATTGTTTTGTGGAGGCCTCTCTGAGACTCGTCCAGATCTCATGGGAAGACTCATTTTCGAACCACACGTGTATATGTTTTTCCAAATGAAACGGAAATGCATGCTTCAATTTGTTTTCTCCTAACTCATAGATAGCACACCATGCTTGAAAGTGATTTATCCAGGCTTAATGATTTTGGGACCAATCCCCGTAATTTGTTCTAATTTCAACGGAATTCAGGAATTGGGCGCTTTATAGTAGTCTTTAAATTATCTTCCACTTGCATAATTATTATCTCTACCACTTATCAGATTCGGTTTTGCCGCCAAATATTTTAGTTTTTTTGAGTGAATTCACTTGGTTTTTTCTTGTGTATTTTGTTAAAATACAAAAAAAAATATCCTGTCATGAAAGGAACTATTATATGAATCTGTTATGGGTTTTTAGCGGTTTTGTATTGGTCTTGAACAAAATACCATATCGGCATGCAGCTTCTTGATATTCATTTGTATTGAAAAAAAGTGACATAAGTAGTAATATGAATCATGTCATTAAAGAGTTTCGCTTACTGTACTCGGAATGTGACAGCTGGGGTTGTACTCCTGCGCAGTTTAAGTTGCTCTTGCTCTGCAAGATTCTGCCGCAAAGAGTTTCCTGCCGAGGACGTACTGGCTGAGTTAGTACCTCTTGTGTTTACAACGCACGTGGATTCGTTGTGTAACAGTCCACTTTCGGTTTCGTGACGTTGGTGAGTTTAACAGACTGACAAGTGTACTACACTTAGAGAATTGGGTGTAACATGTTGTTGCCACTTTCTCATTGTATTATTGAAGGAGCTGACCATTGGTTTAACTTTGTCGTGAGACAATATTAAATCCTTTACCTTCTACCGAAGTTATTTGCAGTTCAGCTATAGGGATGGTTTCCCAATCACTGTCTTGGTCAGGTGTGTCTGCTATATTCCTGCCCATACGTCCTCTCTATTGAAAAACATATCCGCAGAAACAATAAGAAATAATTGGAATTTGTTATGCCTTTTTAGCTGTTTTCTCTTTCTCATGTAAGATACCATTGTGTGGAATTTTAGAACTTCCTTTGTATCCAAAACAAAACAACTATCCTGCAATGATATTATAATGTTATAGTTTCTCAAGAATGTGAATCTCTGATGTTATTTTTGCATTGAAAAAATACCCTTTCGGTGAAATTAGTAGTAATGTGAAAATGCTGTCAGTAACGGAGTACAGCTTCTTTATAAGCCATCATCAGAACCACTGCACTATAAAGTATGAATCTAAAACAAATCTGTCGTTTTGAATTCCTTTTATCTCGGAAAGCAGAACAGTGAAGTGGTCGAGATCTTTCTCTGCATTAAATAAATGATTTTACAGTAAAAACAAATAATGTAATTTCTAATATGTTTACTCAGCGAGTTTTCTCTTCATCTGTAAAGTACCATATCAGCATGGAACTTCCTGATCTTCTTCTATTGAAAAAATATCTACAATAAAATAATAGTTTGAATCTGTTATGCTTTTTTAGCGTTTTTTTCTTTCTCTTGTAAGATACCATATTTGTGTGCAGTTACACGTCTTCCTATGTATCCAAAAACAAAATCCCTAAATGAAATAAGAAGGTTTTATATCTGTGATGTCATATTTTGTACAATACTGTTTTCGATCCCGCTGTGAAATTAGTTTGTAACAAGCATCTGTTTTTCTTTTCAGTTTCCTCTGCCGCATATAAAATATTATTCCTAGTGAAGCTTCTTGACTTTTCTCTGTATGGAAAAATACTACAGTGAATTAACGGTTATCGGAATTTAATGTCTTTTTCCACGGTTGGTTTCCTCAATTCATCAAGGAAAGTGCCGTGTCAGCATGGAACTTCTTGATCTTACTCTGTAATGAAAACCCCCCATCCGTAGTAAAAACAAATAATTGGTATCTGTCCGATCTTACTTTTCATTGAAAGGCGTATCCCGCAGTGAAATAAGTGGTATAAACCTTCTATTGTCTTTTTTTCGGTTTTTCCCTCTAGCTGGTATTAATATTCCTCTGTATAGAAAAGTACTGCAGTGAAATAAATAACAATGTCAAAGTATGTATTTTTTTGCATATATTCCTGGTTTTGTAAAAAAAAAAAAAAGCGTCGGAATGGGTAAACCTGTTACGCGTGGTAAACATGTTACCATTCTCATGACTGCTTGCAGTATTAGAGTGCTATTGGGCGAAATGTCTCGATGGTTTTGACATCTGACGTTTCTTGATCTGGCCCACTGAGGTTTAGTGAGTTGTTCACAGCGGTTTAAAGACGATAATCAGTCATTTGCACTCTTTGCTTGACAAAGAAAACAGTTCCAGTTTGTGTTCAAAACATTGGGATGCCGCTTCTTAATCTTCTGTTCTGTTTACAAAAACAGCAACACTGCAGTAAATACAAGTAATATTCTGAAACTATTATGCCATTATTACAGGGAAAGTACTGGTTAAGTTTGGGTAGTTCCATGTCTTTCTATATTTTAAATTAATGGTTCTACTTTGAAATGATAATGTAATTCCATTTATGTTGTCTTTTATCTTTTAAAGTACCATGTCTGTGTGCAGTTTTAATTCTTCCTCTGTATTGAAATAACAAAAATATCCATAGTGAAAATGCATGCCTTTGGGCGGTTTTTCTTTCACTTGTAAGATACAATATTTGTTTGCAGTTTTAAGTCTTCCTATTTATAAAAAAAAAAATCCGACATGAAATAATAAGGTTATAGATCGCACGAATGTGAATCTGTGATGTCATATTTTGTAAATCACTGTTTCCGATTGCAGCCGTTTAATCTTCTGTTACATTGAAAAAAATATCCTGCAGTGGAATATGTTGGTAATGAGCATCTATTTTCATGTTAGTTCAGTTTTCTCTGCTGCAAGTTAAATACTATTTTCGAGTGAAACTTTTGTTTATGTATGGGAAAATACTACTGTGAAAGTATTGGAATTTAATGTCTTTTTCCACGGTTTTCCTTAATTCATCCAGGAAAGTGCCGTGTCAGCATGGAACTTATTGATCTTCCTCTGTATTGAAAAAAAACCATCCGTAGTAAAAACAAATAATTTGTATCTGTTCTATCTTCCTTTGCATTGAAAGACGTATCCCGCAGTGAAGTTAGTGTTATTAACCTTCTGTTCCTCCTCTATATTGAATGAACTACCTACATTACATTTGGTGGCCGGGATGGGATTCGAACGAACGCCTCCTTAAAAACTTTGTAGTGAAACTAAATAACAATGTGAAAGTTTTTCCTGATTTGCGTTTCTTTCCTGGTTTAGTAAAATAGCGGCGGTATGGGTAAACCTTTTACCCGTGGTAAATTTCTGTATTGAAATAAAAAAATATCCATAGTAAAAATGCATAATATCTGTTATGCCGTTTGACGGTTTTTCTTTCTCTTGTAAGATTTAGTATTTGTTTGCAGTTTTATATCTTCCTTTTTATAAAAAAAAATCCCGTAATGAAATAATAATGTTAAAGATCGCACGAATGTGAATCTGTGATGTCATATTTTGTAAATCACTGTTTCCGATTGCAGCCGTTTAATCTTCTGTTACATTGAAAATAATATCTCGCAGTGAAATTAGTTGGTAACAAGCATCTATTTTAATTTTTGTTCAGTTTTCTCTGCCGCATGTTAAGTACTTTTCCGAGTAAAACTTGTTGAGTTTTCTATGTATTGGAAAATACTTCAGTGAAATTCACGGTAATCGGAATTGAATGTCTTTTTCCATGGTTGTTTTCCTTAGCTCATCCAGGAAAGTGCCGTGTCAGCATGGCACTTCTTGATCTTCCTCTGTATTGAAAAAACCCCAAATAATGTGTATCTGTTCAATCTTCCTTTCCATTGAAAGACGTATCCAGCAGTGAAATTTGTGATATTAATTGCCCTTTTTCGGTTTTCCTTCTAGCTGGTCTTAATCTTCCTCTGTATAGAAAAGTACTGCAGGGAAATAAATATTTATCGGGCTTAACCGTCATCTTGTACAGGGTTTTCTTTAGTTAGTATTTAGACACCCATCATAAAATGCAGCCTAGTGTGATGAGAACATCTCATGTATTTTTTAGCGGTTTTCTCTTTATCCTGTAAAATACCATGTCAGCATGCAACTTCTTGTTCTTCCTCTGTATTGAATAAAATACCTACGTTACGTTTGGCGGCCGCAGTTGGATTCGAACCCACGCCTTCTTAAATACCTTGTAGTGAAACTAAATAACAATGTGAAAGTGTGTATTTTTTT